GCCATGTACCCGGGGACAGAAACAGGAGAATAGACCATCCGACTGTGTACACTGTGTGCCATGTACCCGGGGACAGAAACAGGAGTACAGACCATCCGACTGTGTACAGTGTGGGCCATGTCCCTGGGGACAGAGCATGTCTGCACTGCTGTCTCTCCAGCCTGGGTTTTTAAGAGTTTATAAAATCTAAATTATGACCACCTGGACCACATTAAAATTTAACAAAACTATGAGCCATTAAGATGCATTATGGACAATAAAAAGAAAAAATAGCAAACAGATTACATTAATTCTATGAATAAAATCAAAAACAGAATACAGCCCAATAAAAATAGATAAAAAAAATCTTGAAAAACCATAAAAGATGATGGTCCAGTTTCCAACCCACAGACAAAAAGGTACTTGATTTTCCTAATCATTTTTTGAAGTCAGACTTTCTCATTTGTACACTTTAATTTTTTTAATCACATTTTTATCTCCAGTGTTATAAGAAATAAAATGCTGTAAGCTTGGTTTTTATTTTTTTCATGCTACAAATGAACTCAAGAGGATTCAAAGTCCACTTGCCAGTGCATGGCAGGGTGGGTGGGAGGCCCTCAGCAGTCAGAGGCCTCTTCTCATCTGATACCACACTCTTGAACGACTTCATATCTGGGTGCACTGAGCATTATTGTACGGAAAGGTGACAAAACAGAGATTTATACTGCTCAGACTACTTATAAATTTGCACGTATGAAATAAGAATACACATTCTTTATTGTTCGTCACCTGAGTGGATGACAAAAACGTGAGCTCACGGTTGAAGCCTGAGCTGGAGACACGGCACTCAAGGACAATCCATTATATTGAAAGAGGACAGACTATCAAGATAGAACTTAAATGTTGTGGAATATTATTTTGTACACTGTGAAGATGTGTCACTTGGATTGATTTAATTAAAAGCTGAACGACCAATAGTTAGGTAGGATTTTTGGGGCATAGAGGATACTGGGGAAGAGACACCAAGAGACGGAGAGCAAGCAAGACATGCAGGAGGAGAGGTAACTGCTACGAGCCACACGGCAGCATTTAGAGTAATGGAAATGGGTTTGTTTAAGTTATAAGAGCTAATTAGGAACTAGCCTAAGATATTGGCTGAGCTTTCGTAATTAAGAAAAGGTCCCAGTGTCATTATTGAGGAGTTAATGGGACCAACGAAAAGGTCTGACTATACATACTACAGAGAAAATATATAGAATGGGAGCCACTCAACAGGTGAGATGACTCAACCATGACAGACAGGACCACAAATTCAAACTTTCAATGCCCACCCTACCATTGATTAGTAGGCTGAGAGGCATGTTTTCCTCCCAGACGTTGACCTCATCCAATCACTGAAAACCTCCTGCCTTGAGTAAAGATTGGCAGTTCGCATCACCAATTAGAAAGAATCTCTTCTGTCTTTTTAAGTAGAATCCCTTGGCTTCCTGGGTCTCAAGGCTGCCAGACCTCAGAACAGCATTCCACCACAGGTTCTCAGGTCTTGGACTCAACCTTGAATGACACCCAGCAGGGATCCTGGGTACTCAGCTTGCCCACTTGCCCTCCAGATCTTGGGACTCTATCCTCACACAAGTCAGTTCCCTAGAATGAATCTATAGAGTCATGTGTCGCTGCTCGGTCAACGGCAGGTCACATATATGACAGTGGCTGTAGTGGCATTTCATTTGTATTTTAATATGTAAACTTGCCTGAAGATCAGAAAAGTAAATTCCACACTGGTCAGCCTTACATGTTGCAGGAGGCCGTTTGTTGGTTCCCAGCCACTTAGCCCCAAAATAATCATATAGAAACTGTATTAATTAAATCACTGTTTGGCCCAGTAGCTCTAACTTCTTATTGGCTAACTTTTATATTTTGATTTAACTCATTTCTAGTAATCTGTGTATCACCCAAGACTGCAGCTTACCAGATAAATTTCTGGCGTCAATCTCTAGAAGGGCTACATAGCTTCTCCCTGACTCTGCCCTTCTTTCTCCCAGCATTCAGCTTAATTTTCCCCACCTAGCTCTGTTCCCATGTAGCCCTGCTATAGCCCCAAAGCAGCTCCTTTATTTACCAATGATATTCACAGCATACAGAGGGGAATCCCATATCACTTACACACTAGGCAGTGATAACACACACCTTTAACCCCAGTAGCCACAGTAGTTTGCCATAGAAATTGGGCGGTGCACGCCCTTAATCCCAGAATTAGAGAGGATTATAAAATGAGAGGAGACAGCTCTCAGACACAGTCCCATTCTGAGATTTCTGGAGGCAGCATCATTATTTTCAAACTAAGGAAGAGGTAAGTGGCTGACTGCTTTGCTTTTCTGACCTTCAGGATGAACCCCAACATCTGTCTTTGAGCTTTTATTAATCACGCTACAAGTGGTCTCGGAAGAATATGCTGCCTATTAGGTTGTCAGCCATCTTCGATTGCACAAGTCAGCACTATAGTGTTTGCACAACGAGATAACCCACTTATTAGAAGAATCCCCATGACTAAGCACGCACGGCAATGCTTATTTGCATCTCTGTCTACATACACATCCCATGGGCTCTGCCATGTTGGAGGAGTCACCCCTTTCCCCATGAGACTTGCTTGTCCAAGACCTACTTTCTCTCTTCAGTACAGCATAACCCAGTCCTGCCTCCTTCCTCTACTGTTATCTGTTCTCTAGGTCAAGGGAATGGGAGAGGATGAAGAGAAGTCATAAAGCCACTGAGGAGGGCATGGTGCTGAGACCTTCCCTATCCATACCATACTCATTTCTATCCATGTTCTATATTAGTATAAAAATAATGGCTTGAGAACTAAGTTGGAAACCATTGGAAGCTCGATACATATGCAAATATATCTTTGACAAGAAAGTATTTTCCACCAAATTATTTTTCTGAAAAGCTATATCCCATACTATTTAAATCTATCTTAAAAGTTATTTGTATTATTCAATGAAAATTTTCTTTTAAGAGTCTTATAAAGAGTCCGTAGTTGAGGCATATTGATTCTTATATTCATTTCTCAGTATAACTGCAAAGAGTTCTTTGGAGAAAATTCTATTTAGATTATACTTTAAATTCTAGGGGCTCTCAGCATTTCTAGGGCTAAAAATCAAAGGCCGACAGCAAGACTGTAATTGCTTTTTAATAGTTCTCCCTTCTCATAGGAGTGACCTTTCTTATCAGCTCAGAATTCTAGACCTGAGAGAAAAGACCAAAGTGCCGCATTTCCCATTTTAAATGTCACCTTTGCAATATCTCCTACAGACTTCGCTACCCAGGAGAGAGCGAATTTAAAATACCTGAAATTCTTTCAATTGACTCCTGGACTCGATCACCTGTAAAGATTATTTAACCTCAGTGACTTCAATAGCTGAAAGTAGATTATGTCATACCCAGCTCGGCAAGGCAAAGGAATGAGACGCCTTTTCAAAAGCCAAGTCCCATTTCCATAGTCGTGTGGGAGGAACGTGCTACACAGTCTATTCAGCCGGATCAGCTAAGGTGCAAGGACGGAATAAAGAGCTTCTCTGTGTGAAAGGATTAAACAAATCGCATGAGTTAATGAAAGCTAAAACATCCAGCAAAAGTTTAAATGCCATTTGTGCAAGAATAAATTATTCAAAGGCAGCTAACGAACATCAAGAGGAGGTAGGCAGTCTCCAAAATAAGTAGCCTGAGTTATCTAACTCTGGATGGTGGTGGATAGACTCACAGAGAAGGCCAAGTCTCTCTAGAATGTACGTCAGAAAGAGGCAATGATGAGGAGCAAGCCAGGCCTAAGGAAAAGAGGATTTCTGCTTGCATATAGGATTCCTTCCCAAGTCCTTAAACAGTAACTTTTCTTCTGGAAGGTTCTGCTCTCAGAATTACAAAAGACTTAACTATGTGGATTAGGATAAAAGATATTTAGTACTTTTAGATTAGTTACTAGTTTATAACAATTAGTAGGTTTAAGTTTTAATTTAGAACTTATAAAAAATAAATAAGCTAGAATCTCCAAATTCAAATTAGTGAGGGGAGAAAAGTAAAACACTTTGGGGATCCTCAAATTTCCTTGGTCTCATAGGTGAAGAAAATTCTAGTGATAGGCAAGGCATTTTAAAATGAGAAGTATCTAAGATAAAAGATAAATGTCTAGTTCTTTGAGTTTGGAACATTGCCAAGGAATCCAAGTTCTGCAAGGACACGTGGGCTGTGAGAATTTCATGACTTAAAACCAAGGCTATACAATAATCAGGAAAAACAATGATCTCTAGGAAATGTTCTTTGCTGCTCTTTACTGTCCCTCTGAGGATGTAACTCTTTTGGTGGAACAGTTCCCAGCAGCCTGATGGCATGTCTATAATCCCATCACTAGGGAGGTAGATGTCAGAGGACCAGATTCACAGTCATCCTCAGCTACAGAGTGAGTTCAAGGCTAGCTTGGGGTACGTGAGACTCTGTCTCAGAAAATAAAGGAAAAAAGAAAAGAAAATTTTAAAAAGACCAGTATGACTAGCAGGGTCAAGGACAAGGACATTGGGGTAGCAGGGGGTTCCTTGACGATACTCACCGGATCGGATTGGGTGGTGGAGGGGGGAGAGGCGGAGGAGGAGGAGGTGGGGGAGGTACCGAATTCTCCGACTGGTTCACTCGTTTCTGAAGTTCATCCACTGTACAGGAAGCAAGGGGTCAGAGAGACCTGAGGTGAACCACTGCACACTGCTCACACGACAGAAAAGCACGGCCTCTCTCAGATGACGATGGGGCACAGTTAGACTTTCTGTTGTTGACAGCATCAGTGACACCATAGCTGGCCTTTTGTTTGTTAAGCTCACTGCCTTATTTTTCCGTGTAGACAAAAGAACATGGCTAATGCGTGGGGAGAAAGAATTGAGCAGGCTGAAGGAATATTTCTGACAATGAACTTCACTCCTCAAAGACCAAGGAATTCTTCATGTTGGACTTTGAAAGTGTGTGGACTGAGGGCTGCTTTTAAAGATGACATTTGCAATGCATTTTATTAACGGCATTCTTCTCTCCTACGCTTAATTTCCTTCAAAACCAGCAAATACTGGAGTTTTAACTAGATCCACATTCCTAAAGGCCTGTAATGTAACAAACTTTTTGCTCTTCTGAAGAAATGTCATTTATTCATTCTTGTTACCATAAGACAGGCATTGATTAGACACCACCAGTGGAAACGGAGATGGGGACAGAGCTGGGGACAGCAGGTCTTGACTCTCAGGGGCTCAGTTTAAGTTTCTGTCAGAGTACTGGGGGTGAGCTCTGTTCTCGAGCTCTTGCCTAGCAAGCACACAACCCTGGGCTTAATTCCTGACACCACGAAAGGAAAGAAATGCATACTATGGCCTAAAAGGTGATGGGTGCACATACTGTATGTGTTCAGGCCATGCTTGACCCCTCAGTCCTGAACTAGCCAGCGTGTGCTAGGAAAACACTCTCCCCAACACACACGTGCATCTGTTACTTCCAAAGGGATCTGGGGGTCTTCCGAGACAGATGGAGAAAGAAGGAGAGATGGAGAGATGGGAAGAGAGGGGGGAGGGGGAGGGAGAGAGAGAAATAGAGAAAGAGAGAGAGAAAGAGAAGGGGGGGAGAGAGAGTGGGAGGGAGGGAGAGAGAGAAATAGAGAAAGGGAGAGAGAGGGGGAAAGAGAGTGGGAGGGAGGGAAAGAGGGAGGGAGAGAGAGAAATAGAGAAAGAGAGAGAAAGAGAGAGTGGGGGGTAGAGAGAGAGTGGGAGGGAGGGAGGGAGGGAGAGAGAAATAGAGAGAGAGGGAAGGAGGGAGAGAGAAATAGAAAGAGAGAGGAAAGGAAAGGAGGGAGGGAGGGAGGGAGGGAGAGACAGGGAGAGAGAGAGAGAGAGAGAGAGAGAGAGAGAGAGAGAATAGGTCAACCATTTGGTATGCTGTTTGCCCTGCTCTCGCTGGCAAGTTCATCTCTCGTGATGCTAAAACACTCCGTCTTCCCTGGAGTTAGAACCCATTTCTTCAAGTTTCTAACATAGTATAAAGACCAGAAGCACTGAGGAATCCTCCTGGACCCCAGCATCAGACTAGGACTGCTGAGACCTCCAGGCTCACGGACTAAACAACTAAGACTCTTGACCTTTCTGTAGAGAAATAGCCATTATTATATATTACATAGATTATCTGGACCACAGCCTGTAATCCAGATTAATAAATCCCTTATACTTGTTTCCTATCTGCCCTGTTTCTTCAGAGAACCCTGGCGCTAGCCTAACCCTAAGCCTCCTGAGAGCTGGGATAACGCTCATTCACCGCCATACACAATAAATATGCATGGACTCTTTCCTTCTGCACTGTTCAGATTTATTTGATTTGATTATAGGAGTGTTTTGCTTGCATAAATGCATGTTCACGTGTATACAGCGCCTGCAGAGGTCAAAAGAAGCTGTAGGGTCCTCTGGATGGTTGTGAGGCAACGTGTGGGTGCTGGGAATCAAACTCTCATCCTCTGCAAGAGCAGCAAGTGCTCTGAACCCCAGAACCATCCCTCCAGCCTTTCTCCTGCATTTCTCATTGGCCCGTGATAGAACTGACTGCTGACATCACAGATCCTAAATAAATCAGGTCAAACTAGGATCTCAGACATCTGCAACGCCCACCCCTTCCATGTACTATAAAGATAGCTTTGCCTATAGGCTATTCTGACAGTTTCTAAAAAAGTTGACATTTTCTTAGTTTTGCATTGATTTTTTTTAAAAAAAATAAATTGTGATCACTTTTCATTGTGAATTTTTAAAAACAATTGAATGGTTCAGAAAAGGAAAAAAAAAGCCTACATGGTTCTTCTGCACAGATTTCAAATTTCTATTATAAAATTAATGGAAAGTATCTGAAGGGAGCGCTGAGGCTGCTATAAAGAGAAATGTACCCGCCGTAAATTACCTGCCTTCTCAGAGACCTATAGCTGTGGCGTAATCCAGCTCCTACATTTTCATGAGCCCTCCAGCACTGAATGAATAAATCCTTTGATTTCAGAATCCCTGGTGCTTTTAAAAGTTTTCCCATTTAATATACATATTGTTGCCTATTTCATTGTTAGGTGTGGCATAGAAAGTAATATTTCATACGTATAATTAAGCCCCAAAGATGAAGGAGACACAAATACCAAAGATGAGGGTATTATTTAAAGAAAAAAAGGAAAGAAAGGAGACTTCAATTCTTTTTGAAAAAGCACTCTAAAATGAACAGACTAAGTAAGTGTTCAATGAGCAATCCTTTGAAAGGCCCAAAGATGTTGGCAGTTTGGGTCTTCCGTGATAATGGCGCCTCTAGGCCTTGGTTCTGTGCAGGAAGCTGACAGAGGCTCTATGTACTTGTGATTTTTTTGTGACTTGGTTTGATGACACTGCTCTGCTTAACTGTGATGGCTAGAAATGAAGAAATTTAAAAAACAAGTCTGTAGGTTGCAGAGATCCGTTGGTCAGTATGACACTCACTGTGTAAGGAAGCAGGAGAACTCGCGTTCGACTACCCAGAATCCAGAAAAAGAGCTGGGTGTGGTCGTATAAGCTTGTGATCCCGCTGTGACAATGCAGACAGGTGAATCTGTGGATGCCCTGGTCAGCACGCCAGGTTTACTGGTGAGCCCCAGACACTAGTGACAGGTATCGTATCTCAAAAAATAAAACCAGCCAAAGAAAACCAAGACCAACAAGACTGGGGCTGGAGCGATGGCTCAGCAGCTAAAAGTACTCGCTGCTCTTGTGGAGGACCTAGGCTCGGTTCCCAGCATCCACACGGTGATTCAGAGCTGCCCACAATTCCTGTTCATGGATTCTGACGTCTCTTCTGGCTTCCACAGGCATCAGGGACACACAAGGTGTATAGACGTGCATGCAAGTAAAATACTTATACACATAAAATAAAAATACATGTTTAAAAAGGAAAACAGGGTGGGCAGCTCCTGAAGCTGATATCTAGTGTCCACATATAGGCACACGAGCGTGCATGTGCACACATGCCTGTGTGCATACACGGAATAACATAAATAAACAATAACAAGCAACAAACAAGTTTGCGCGGCAGGCTTTGCTGTGGGCTCTCACCGGAATGCTTCAGATTCCTGGCCTTCTCCTCTGAGCTCTGGTACTTCTGCTCCAGCTCCTTCTTGTCCTCCTCGAGGAGCTCCAGCTGCTGTCTGAGGGTATGGATCTCCTTGTGCAGAGCCTCATTCTCCAGCTTCTCCTCTAACTCTTTGACCTGGAAGGTAGACACAGCTGGAATCGGGCCGGCTTTTCCCCTTGTCGACCGAAAGGGGCAGGGGACGAATATTCTCACTTGACTATTTCATAGCAGGAAGATTCCTACTCACCTTAAATCACACAGATCCAGGGTGCAGACGACACTAGCTGGCTCACCAGCTAGCTTGCTTTCTGTTAGTTTTACTGAGAAGTCAGTTATACTAGAAGTTTAACTAGAAGTCACAAAAGTAAAATAACATCTAAAACTTATTTTAAAACAGACATATTATTTCTATATTCTTCTCCAAGAGAAAAATTTTGATAATATTTTTAAAAGACTACTGGGACCCACAGGGAAGGGACAGGGAGGAAGGGAGAGGCCTTATTGCCAGTAATGGCACTCTTTAAAAAATTATATTTTTATATGTGTTTGCTGCATGTATATGTTCATACCGCATGTGTGCAGTTTCCTTAGAGGTAGAAGAGGGCAGCAGATCCCCCTGGAGCTGGAGTTGCAGTGCTTGTGAACTCTGAGGCATTGCTCCAGTCCCAGCAGGATTTTTATGTGTTTGTGACTCTGTGTTCAAATGCTTGCTTAGTACATGCAGGGCCCTGCATTTGATCCATAGCACTCAACACTAGTCAGCCAGGAGTGGTGAGCCTAAGGCCAATATGAAAACACATCCTTAAAATGTTTTTGAAAACCTAAGAATAACCTAAACACACCCACCAGCAGCATTACTTCACAGACTATAAGGAAATACTATACAGCCATATAAATCCATATAGTTCAGCTGGCATTGGGGAAGCACTCCCTTAATCCCCACACTTAGGAGGCCAAAGTACACAGATCTGTGAGTTTGAGGTCAGTCTGGCCTATAGAGTGAGTTCCAGGACAGTCAGAGCTGCACAGAAAAACATTGTCTCAGGGAGAAACAAACAAACAAACACAAAAAACCCACATAGTTCAGTACATACTTGGATGAGAAGATATATTACCAATTGAAAACCTTTAAAGAAGGCCATGCATCACATAGCTCCATTTAAATAAACCATATATACGTCATAAAAACATGTATTTATATAAAGTTTCAAGTAGCCCAAAAGTATACATCTTGGATTTTTAGGTAATCTTAATTTTCTTTTATTGTTTTTAGATTTCAAAAAAATGTGTTTACAATAAGGAACATACACTATTTTAAAAATGTCAAAGCAAAGTATCTGTGTTTTAAAAAGTAATGAATCTATGAGGGACTTTGTGTTCAAGTAGGAGATATTTACACCATACAGAGGAGAAAGTACCCAGGATAAATGACTGGGACAGGAGGAAGCCTGTAGTAATTGCTACAGTTTCAACCACAATGACCTCTGCTCCTTTGCCAGACAGGGACAAAGAAAATAACTCAATCCTAGAGTCCAGTTCAATTCAGTGAGGTCCAGGTATGCATTCCCCACTAACCAAGTTACCAACAATTAGTTTGTCCTCTCAGGACCAAAAGTTAAATTTTAACGCAAAGTAAACACACATGCACACACACACACGCATGCGTGCACACATACATGACACTACACACACACACACACACACACACACACACACACACACACAAAAGAAATTCTCCACCTTTGGCCTTGGGGAGCAGAGGCTTTGTGCATACCTGCCAACACTTCCCACCGAGGACACAGAAAGCCAGCTTGACCTCACTGCTAGACGCAAAAAGCATCAGAAGTGGAGAGGATGATGCACTGGTACCCTTGCCCTGAGATGCTGACAAGTGAGAGTCAGTTGCAGCTAACAGCCTTTCCTCACTAAGGAGGTCTGCTCTGAGGACCCACAAATATTGACATCACCATTCTGAAGTGGCACCTGCAAGTCTTTCTTCCGCCTTCTCCCTCTTCTCTCCCCTACCACAATGGCAAGCCTCTCCGCCTGACACAGAGGGACCTGGGCGGTGTTGACCTGAAGAGCGCTACTCGTGCAAACTGAATAAGCAGTTTGGAGTCCTTTACTACAGCTATCTACACAAACCTGCATGGTCAGAAGCTGTAACTGAGAAAGCAATTACTAATGCAGGCTTTCCTTCCCCCTCTCTCTTGGAATAAGGCCCCATGTCGCCTGAGAAGTTCTGCAAGACCAATACACTCTCCTATGTCTCTGAAAACCATACCTTCCCAAACAGACTTCAAGACTGCAAACTGCTCAATACACTGAGTCCTATCCTTTCCCTTGCTTCTCCAAACTCATTATTAATGACCGACTTCAGGGTCATTTTAAAGACCTCATGACGGTGAGCTATAAAATTTACATTAAATTCACTTGGTAGCTATTGCTTTCTCAAAGATATTTAGAATTTAGTAAAGAAGAAAAAAATATGGAACTCTAGAAGGCCTCACTAGCACCTGTTTTAATGTATGATTGCATGTACATATGTGTGTGTGATGTGCCTGTGTGAACATGTGTGTATGTGCGTTTATGTGTACATGTATGTGTGTGTACATGTGTGTGTCTGCACGAGTGTACGACCCCAGCTCCAGAGTAAAATCAGTTACCTTTTGCTGATGCTGGATCCTCTCTTCTTCAAGCTGCTGGATGAGTTTTGAGTTTTCATCTAAAGCTTTCAACAGCTGCTGGTCGGGAAGAGAGCTCTGCAGCAGAAGCTGGCTTTGTCTCTTCAGCTTGTTTTGCTCAATGAACATCTGTAAAAGTTAATCACAGAAATGTCTGCACCAACCCAGCCCATGCAGACCCCCGGTGTTGCCTGAATGGCAGGGAGTGGCGTTCTTAATGACCCCGAAGGAAAAGGCTGAAGTAGGAGCTCCTGGAGCAGCCAGGGCCATGACGCAATCCCCAGCTTGGCAACAACGTCAGTACCTAAATCGCTACTCTAAACAAGGAGTGGATACACTAACCGGATTCTATACCTCACTTTTAAATGTTCTCTTACTGCTTTGAAGTGCACTGATACGAATAGTGGCAAGTATGTGTCAGTAATATGCCACGTGTCAGGCACATGCTACGCTTTATTTTCATCCTTATGCACGCCCATGTATCCTACGAGCTAACTTTCTACTGTGACTAAGTAACCTTCATGAACCGCTCTACAATGTGGTAGATACCTCTCTGTATGCAGATATCTTTCAATACTCAGAACAACACTGCCAAATAGATACTATGGCCATCGCATTTTCCCGATAAAGAAGCGGAGGCTCAGAGAGAACAAATGATTTCCCCAAGGGGTATGTAGGGTTGGAGAGATGACTCAGCGGTTAAGAGCTCTGCCTGCTCTTCCAAAGGTCCTGAGTTCAACTCTCAGTAACCACATGGTGGCTCGCAACCATCTATAATGAGATCTTGGTGCCCTCTTGAGGAAGAGACCTGGTCAGCCGTTCTCATCAACTTAGACCATGAACCAACCCCAATAGGGACAAGTTCGACAGAACCGCCATACATGGGCTGCCCACGCATGCTTCAGTATTGCCAGGGCATAAATTACATATTTTTTCACATAGGTATCAAGACCAGAACTTAAACTCATTGATTTGCCTCCTCAGTTCCTTATTAGAACGACATGAGTGAGAAACAGTTCTGGAGGGAGACTGTACGAACATGTATTGAACGCTTCATCGAGTTGCTTATGAATGCAACTTGGCTAATTCTCCCATGTTGCTACAATCGAAAGCAGAATTATTTTCTATTATGTATATTTATGTACCATGCCAAGATGACTAGAGGGCAATCCCAGGCATGAGCAAACTCTGCAAGTCTCTGAACAGTGATGTTTTACATGGTCAGGATCTTAATGGCGGCTTATGTAGACACTGGCTTAACTCTAAACTGTGTACACTGCGACACTTTATTGCAGACCAGACATGCAACCTCATCTGCCATGTAGCACAAAATGCCAGAAAGTGTAACTCAGGACAAAGATAAGATTTCTGTAAACCTCCATGTGCAAGGACTGTAGCTTCAATGATTTCCTGTCTCAAAAACCAGAATGGAGAGTGAGAGAGAGAGAAAGACACCCAGTGTTGACCTCTGACCGCCAAACAAAGGCACACTGCACACAAATGTGATTTCCACCCACACACAGAGGCTGAGTTTTCACTCCTTTCCTGTGCAGGATTTGTGAGGAATCTACCAAACTACTACAATGTTGTGCAAAATTAAGACACACCACCAGCTCAAACAGGTTAAAAAACACTATTTCTTTTCAAAGATTTATTCTTATTATTTATGTGTACAAGTGAGTCTCTATGTGTGCATGTATATGTATACAGGGGTACCTGCACAGGCCAGATTAAAGATTTATTCTTATTATTTATGTGTACAAGTGTGTGTCTCTATGTGTGCATGTGTATGTATATGGGGCACCAGCACAGGCCAGAAAAGGATGACAGATTTCCTTGGAGCTAAAGTCAATGGGGGTTGTGAGCCACCGGATGTGGTTGCTGGGAACTGAAGTCAAGTTCTCTGAAAGAGTTGAAAGCATGAAACACAATCTTGCAGAGTAGGTGGAATCCATACTCCTCCTGTGTCACCTCCTCCATGTAAGTGTTATAGGCACAGAGACAGCCAAGGCATTCTACCCAGGAGACTCAGACTCCAACCAACAGGGGGTAATCAATGATTCAGCACAGAGACTTGAATTTTTGAGCAGTGTCTACCTGCAGTGAATTATTTTGGTTTTTATCATTATTACTGCAATGATTCTGACAGGTTTTTCCTCTATTAAAACTTAATTAGCCAGGCTCCCTCACCAGCATCTTAGCACCCTGAGAGTCACCACGAAGGGCAGCTAACTCCAGCTGAAGCAAAGCTGCAGGTTCCTTTTCACAGCACGTGTTCCTGGTAAAGAGCCATTAGTACAGCTACAGCCTCTGAGGAGGGAAGCCAAGTAGGGACCCCCACTCACCAGCACCCCTCATGATCTTCAGAGGTGCTGCTCCATCCTCAGAGCAGGGAAGCCAAGTAGGGACCCCCACTCACCAGCACCCCTCATGATCTTCAGAGGTGCTGCTCCATCCTCAGAGCAGGGAAACCAAGTAGGGAACCCCACTCCCTGTCACCAGCTCTCCCCATGATCACAGAGGTGCATGCATCCTTTCTCTGTGATTCTCTGGGATTTGTTTCTCTTGGGAACAAGGAATATTCTGGAATACTACACGCATACAAAGTAGCTTGAATGTGGCACTTTGAAGACAAACAAGCAAAAATACTACATCTGAAAGACTTCATAGTGAGAATCCCTTTCTCAGAGACCCTGTGACATTCCCCAAACAGTAATATCCCACCTGGACTCAATCCCCAGCATCACAAAACCGGTGCCATTACAAGCCTTTAATCCCAGCACTCAGGGAGGCAGAGACAGAAGGGGCAGGGATTCAAGGTTATCCTTGGCTACATATCAAGTCTGAAGACAGACCGGGCTTCATGGGACTGCCCACAGGAAGAACCAAAAGACGCACAGGTGGAGGGTGTAATCATACTACCTTCCCCAAACTTCAAAGTACAAAATTCAAAACTCCCTGAGTGTGTCCTCTTCGAAAATACTTAGTCAGCAAATGCTAATGAGTTTTGGGTTTGCTGTGGCAAGAATGTCTCGGCGTCAGAAGACTGGTCTCTTATGAGGGGAAGAACACCACAGGCATTGGAATTTCTAAGAAATTTCATGCGTCTCTTAAGAGTGAGAATAAAAATGTTATGTTAATACAGAATTCAAAGCAATATTTTAATATTGTCCAAATTATCCAGGAAGGAAACTGAATAGCAGGAAAAACACATTGAAAAGTATAAGAAAATCATATGAAAACTTCAAAACATGGTTGGCAAGATGGCTCAGTGGGTAAAGGCACTTGCTATATAAGCTGTAAGACCTGAGTTCAATCCCTGAGCCCATGAAGGTGGAAGGGGAGAAAACACACACACGCGCGTGTGTGCACACACACACACACACACACACACACACACACACACACACAACCAAAATAAAGAAAATCATATATGCACACTATAAACAAGTAAATTTTAAAAAAATTTAATATGTAGATAAAAATTTTAAAAACAGTTCTAGAGACAGCTGAGTCCTCTTGTTAAGGAACAGAAGAGGCTTTGTTTTGCTTTAAATAAAGTAGCACAAGAGGATGGGAAGCTCTCAGTTTCTGATTTATATATTTCAGAAGCAGCTGCAATTTTTTTTAAAGCACACAAATTGCTGTTGCAATCAAATACACAAGCAAATAAACTTGGATGTTTGCTTTGAAGACTGAGGACAATAAGCCCCTCATTTTCTTCTCCAACATGCAATTGTCATACAGTACCAATGTGGTGCTGGGCGCAACCCCTAGAACATGCCCAGTGGGGGATCCGGTGAAACAAGCCTCATGCCGTTGGCAGTGGTCATGTGTCAAAAGCCCGAGAGTCCCTTCTTGCCCCGACGGAGTTTAAATCTGGACACCAGCATCACTACACCTATTTATGTTGCCCGTCACAGAAGGCTCCCAGGCCTGCTCCCTTGCTCGTAATAGCTCAGCACGGAGCCCATGCTGCCCCGCACTGTTTGGGCTCCAGGCTCACCAGTGAACCCGAGGGAATCATTCGCGTGCATGCTTTCCTACCAGAATCTCCCTTCTCCTGTCTTTTCTGCTACCAGGAAGCCTCCAAGATTTTCTTTGAGCTGCTTTTTATTGTAACATTATTGTAGAAAAAACAAGTAGAAAACTGAAAATGTCTTAGTTAGACCCTGCCATCAGGTCATACTCAGTGAGCCTTTTCAGCATCACGACTCAGTTCTCCACATTGTCCCTACCTGCCCTCCCCAACTGTCGGTTTACCTGCCTCATTGACAACCACACGGCTTTTGTTCCAGAGGGCTCTGACACACTTCAATTCTTTTCTCTTTCTTACAGGTCAACAGAGAAAAATATTCATCTAGCTTTCAAACTCTCTGAATAAAATGAATCACAGTATTTCAAGTCAGATGAACCTAGAGTAAACGTTCTGTGGAGGTCAATGTTAGCCTAGCTATGTTTAGGCACAAAACCCCGAACAAAACAAAACAAAGCAAAAAAAAAAAAAAAACCAAAAAACCAAAACATCCTACACAGAAACATAATCTGATTTTTAAATGTCCTTCTCCCAACATTCTGCCTTCTTTCTCCATCTTGGTTACCTCTTCCTGGGATGACTTTCAGCTCCTTAGCTGCCTCCCTCAACACACGGTTCTTTACACTGAGGCCCAAAATTCCAATAGAGACAGAGATCTTGCTGATCGAAGCTCAATATTTGAGTTCAGCTACCTGGTGGCAGGTCATTGCCCTGGAAACCAGCTCCAGAGCCACAGAATACCCAATGTTCGAAAGTCAGCAAGGTCAGGTGGAAACGGAGAAGCTCAGAGCTTATCTCTAACCCAAGCGGGAAATCACTGCACTGGCGAGTGGCTGAGATAATGGGTGTACAACATGGCCACGTTCCATAGCGGAGAAAGACTCTGCTCACACAATGAGAGCACCAGACGATGGCCAGGTGAGAAAGGCAGACACTGAGACACTGTCATCTGAGTCGACAGGGAGACACAACCCGATTCTCAAGGCTATCTGAACTGTGTAGACATTCTGCGCAGGCTGCCCGTCACGTTACAGGGTCTCCGTGGAAACCCTTTCACTGCACAGCATGCTGTCTGTGGTGCTTTTAAAAATTATTCTGTTTTGGCGGGGAGTGAGGGTTAGCTTAGTTTGTAAAGTGTTTGGGGAGCAAGCATGAAGAGTTGAGTTCAATTCCCCAGAACAGAGGCATATGCTCAAATCCCAGGGCTGGAAAAGCAGTGACAAGTGGGTTCCTGGGACTCACTGGCCAGCTGGTCTACCCCACGAGCACTCTCCATACCAGCCGGAGGTCCTGTCTCAAAAACCAAGGTGGACAGCGACTGAGGAAGATCCCTGATATCGATCCCTACGCTCTATACGCATGTGCACGCACACACTTCTCATCGCATTTTAAAATCTCCTGCACTCCCTTACACAGACATCTATTCTACAGATGGTGTGAACGCAGCCGGAGAGGGTGAGGACAGCTGAGGTTGCTTGCAGGGACAGGCATGGCAGACGCTCAACCCACATCTCCTCCTCTAACTTCAGAACACCCTAATGCCATGATGCAGCTTCCACCTAGTCAGGAGTGCCTCACTTATAGTCGCTAAGTTCTGGTCAAACACTTTCTAAAACTTCCAGTTGACTCATGATGATTGTACATATTTACGGGGTACCCCAGGGAAGTCTGGTGTATGTACATAAGCTATAATACTTAGATCTAAGTCAACACAGCTTCATCTCCTTAAACATTTGTCATCTGTGGTGCAAAGTGTCAAATGGCTCTCTTCTAGGTCCTAACAAGTTATACAATAATCACAGTAAAGGAGTCACCTATGCTATGAACACTGGGACTTATCACCTTCTTATCTGACTACTTGACTCTGCTTGCCCTTAGGCATTCTGCAAGACGCCCGGTTTCTGCAGCACACTCACCTCTTGTGCAAATGATTCTGCTTTCTTGCGAAGGTCTTTCTCCAGCTCCAGGTTCACCTGCAGCTCCTCATACTCTTCGACGGCCAGCATGGACACTGAAGCAGACAAGGAGAAGAACAGAGACAACAGGCTGTGCAAATGACCAGCAATGTGTGAGGAAAAGATTCTTCACAAGACAACTGGATGACCTCATCTATTCCTGGCTGGTGCAGTGATGAGTCTTATGGAGGGTTTAGAAATGGGATTGGAAAATCTACTGGAAAAACCATTCATACTAAAGTGTATCCTAAAAGAGCAAGTCAGGAGGACAAACCTGTGGTTGCAAGCATGTTCTTGGAACTACTGAGGAAATCCCAAAGGATTGGTAAAATACAGCACAAGCAATGTTACTCTGCCATCAAAACCGTACTGTGAAAGCAAACCTCAGGAAAGATGTATATTTTCAAATAATCTAACTGTGAAAGTTGGTGCAAAATGATTACATTTCTGGTTATTTAAATTTTATCTTATGCATGTAAATGTATTGCCTGCTTGTTCCCGCTGAGGTCAGAAGGTATCAGGTCCCCTGGAACTGGAGTAACTGGTGATTGTGAGTCACCATAGGGGTGTTGGGGGCTGAAACCGGGCCCTCTGCAAGAAGACAAAAGTGCTCTTGGCCACTGAGTCATCTCTCCATCCCCCTCATTTCTGTCTTTTAAAGACCAAAGACAAGAAGCACATCACAGGCATTTCACAGGGCACACATGACGGGTCAACAGACATGTAAAATGCTAGTCAGTGCTACATAGTGAGACACCCCCCCAACACACGCACACACATACAAAAGAATTACTGTAGAAAAGGTCCTGTCAAATAAACGCAGCATGAAATCTTTGCTGCTCTCGACATTATGTGGCCTACTTTGTTAAATAACGATGTGGGCAGGGTGCTGGGAGCCGTGACGCCATTAGGAACTCGGGCACAATGCAGGCAGACCGCCGCCGAGGAGCCTCGCTCTGAGCTGAGTCATATCAATAAACTCCCGCCAAGACACTCTTAATGGCTGCTTTCACACTCTGTTCCACTGGGCACTTCAATCCTAACTGACTAAGGATGGGTTTGCTGTGTAATGACATAGAATTTCAAACTCTGCTCTGCGTAAACTACTGCCTCCTCAGACAGAAGAGAATAGTCTAACTCAAGGAAAGTAATGTAAGTGGCGGTTTGTGCCGGGAATTATAGGTCCCTAAGGACTAAATGACTTTCAAACCTATTTTAAAAAAAGAAATTTCACAAAGAGAACAATGAAGACTACGAGTATCTGAAGCCCTGGGCAGGACGATGGGCTCTCTTCTTCTGTCCAAAACGTTATAATAAAAAGTTAATTTTCCCGTGTCTAGGTCCCTTTGACTTGGATTCTGAAAGGAGCTAGTCTGATCCTGGTGGCATGTTCACGTATCCTTGTTTCTTTCTAGACAGGGGGCTTCCTGAAGGCAAGAGCCATGGGGTGAATTCCTGTTTCTGCACAGTACATAGAGAATGCAAGTTGTACACACGGAAGTAGGACCGTCTTATCCCTCTCCCATGCTTAGCTGCCAGGCCTTTTCTTCAGAAACTCTAGCCGATCAGCAACCCAAAGGATGGGAGCCAGCAGCAGGGGCAGTGTAGAAAGCCCTCTCCGTGTCCTGTCTTTGGAAGTAGGAAACTGAGTGTCTTGGAGACAGGTCAGAACATATCAGTCCTCTGTTGTTGTGGATATTTGGATGCGGCATCACCGCCAGTGACGCACATGTGCAAGCCTGGTCCCCAGCATGTTAGCATTAAGAGGTGGGGGGATTTAAGGGAGGGGCTTACTGCTAGGTAAGGCTTACTGCAGGGGCTGCTTTGGAGAGAATCAAAGTTGGTCTCACGAGAAGTAGGTTCTCACTAGAGTGGGTTCCAATGAAAATTACAGACCAGTACGGTTCCTCTCTTGCCAACTGATCACTCCCTCATGTCTCACACTCCCGCTGTGATGTGGTATGACCCCATTAAGGGGGCCTTCCCAGAGCCAAGCAGATGGTGAGGTCATATTCCTGGGTAAGATCTGAAGCTGGGAGCCTATATTCATTATAAAGTTTCCTGCATTGTGTAAGACATAATAGCAACAAAACTGGACTGATTCAGCCCTCACAGTCCTCCCGACCAGAACGGCTTCCACATGGCTCCCTGCACTAAACTGTAAGGTAAGAAGCGGTACCCACGAGGCTCACGTCGTGTTTGACAAGAAGAATGAGATGCTGACCAAATAGCCCGGCATTTTCTTTAGAAGTAGCAGGATTATTTGTGCTTATGTAACTCATCAAAATGGTTATGAATCCCTTGCTGTGCTGGCCACCAGAAGTTTGGAGTCATATTTCAGACACAAAGAGGGATCATGCGAGACCCTAGAGAAAGGAGACACTTGGCATGCCGATCTATTTTAAAAAGTCTCAATATTTATCCCTGCCTGTTCTGGAACTCACTCTGTAGACTAGCCTGTCCTCAAAACTCACAGAGATCCACTTGCCTCTGCCTCCACAGTGCTGGGATTTAAGGTGCATGCCACCACACCTTATGGTATATTAATATTGATGCTCATTTTCCCACTGGCCCATTTTCTATATCCGCCAATTTAAAATGCTTTCATGTGTATGCAGCTTTCTGAATCTACCCTAGATTCAGATTTACTGACTAGCTATAAATCCTATAAATGCTAAGGGGGTAAGCAAAAAAGGTTATGGTCCCACAATACACACAGGACAGCAGTGTATAGGTTTGAAGTTTCAAAAGCAAAACACAACCTAGGAAAAACCACACCGGGCACAGGTGTAAAGAAGCACCAGATGTACATAAGCAAAATAAGTTGGAAAAAAATAAAGAATGGAAAGACATACCTCTGTTGCATTTTTCTAGGACTTTCCTCTGCTCAAGAACTTCTGAATTTAAGGCGACCTTTTCTTGCTTAACTTTATTTACCTACAGATGTAACATGTGGAGAAAGAAGAAACACCCAAAATTGTAAATAAGACATATGGCTACACGGAACCCTCAAATAGCTGTTCTGCTTTCAACATGAACTTCTGCAGTTGAGTGGCAACGCCCATCAGCTCCTCTACCAAGAGCATTAAAGATAGCTCTTCTGTGAAACTTCAAGTCACACCTGAGCACAGCCCATTTATATATTCAAACTGTCATGGGGGGGCTCCCTACACAGGACAGTATTCTATCCATTCAATGTCACCCACTCATATTTTTAATGCAAAAATCCAAGTTGTAATCACCCACAAAACATGCCTATCATTTAGCAGGCCAGCAAGTATTCAACTTCAGGTTCAGTTTGAACTTCGATTTTATGTTTAAAGAAAGCACATATTAAACTATTTTTTTAAAAGATAACTTTAAACTTTGGTGACTTTTGACCTATCTGTGATATTCTCTCCCAAACTTAATTTTCCAAAAAAACTTTTAACACTGATTAGTAGAAAAGCCCTACCAATAGCAGTTTTGTTTTGTTCGTTTGTTTTTAGTGCAAAGCCACCCAGATCAAGGTGCATACGTCTCCAGTGCATTGTGTTGAATTTTAAAAGGCAGGCATACTTACCAGTTGTAAAAACCCTCAGAATACCCTGTACTGCTCTAAGCAGGTAAGAACACACTCTGGAATGATAAACACCATGTTCAGAACACCAGCTGCTTAGGGAGTGAAGAGGCAGCTGCAGGGTGGTCCCCGCATTTGACCATGACTGTGTTGGCGGGTTGCAAGCTAAGCTGAGCAGAGGTGTGTAAGATCACAGTCTTCTGCTCCATGCTTTGGAGATGTCTGAAACAATTACAATAAAAACAACTCCAATTGTCTTCAAGCAACACCCCCAAGGAGCCAGGCTGATGGTAACAATGTGTTCCCTTCTCCTCTCCTGTAGTTACACACTCAAGAAGCAAAATATAGTACAGGCACCCACTACAGCCTTGGTCCATCAGCACCTCCAGAAAGCTCAAGAACTGGTTTCTCTTCATATAAATCCATTTTTTTTTTTGTTTTGGTTGGTGATAGTAATTGGCATACAAAGTCCAACAGGGAAATCCCTCCTAAGATTGCCCCCCTTTCCCCATTATTACTCTGTTTCGGGGGAACAAAGCAAGAACAGTTTGGTTAGGGAGGCTGGAGGGCATGGCTGCCCAGCCTTTGTGTGTGACAGTCCTCAACGAGTTGACAGTGTGTGCAGGAAGGGAGCCAACCAGGTGAGGCTGCTTACTCATGGGCCACTCAAGACACCTGGGGATGCCACAATGCTGGCACGGGCTGGTTGGGAGACTCAGGACTACAGAATCAGAGACCTGTGGACACCTGTTAAATCAAGGTTGTGAAGGCAGATCTTTGAAGCCTCATTACAGATAAAATTGAGTAATTGAGTAGCCCTGTGCTTATGTACAGATAAAAGCATGATAAAAAGCAAGATAACAAGGTTCTCCAAATCACCCTTGAGTCTCTCCTCTAGCTGTTCTTTCTGTTCTGCAGGAAGGACACACAGCAGGGGACTGCCCCCTACTAAGCTGTCTGTCCACTGAACTCTCTACCTTCGGCTTTCTTCGCCAGGGCAACAGCGTCTGTGACCTGAGACAGGAGTCAGCTTTCTACAAACTTGCCTCTCACCGGACAGAGTGGGTGACAACATGTGACCCTGCACACCAGGGCTGCCTTACAGTCTGATTGGCTGAACTAGGGGTGATGCGTGTTCGTGGCCTTGCTTTCTGTACTTTTTCTGAATGACTGAAAGAGGGGAGGGAAGGGAAGTTGACAAACCCATGCGCTGGGCCTGAGATACCTACTTCCTCCATCACCTCTACAAGCTTGCTCTTGAGATTTTCCAGCTCAATGGCTAACACCTTCTTCTCTTCTTGGACGGACACAATTTGATCTCGGAGTTCTGCAATTTTAAGGGAAGGAAATTTAAAATAAACTTTATTTTGCCTCTTAGTTAGCGAAGTAACAGGTTTCCTTTTGGCATTTTCATTCATCTTTTGGGTTGGTTGATTCTACACACACACACACACACACACACACACACACTGCTTAAGACATCGTTTTTCCCATCATGGATCTCTGTCTAACTTCATGCCACCTTCTTACCTCCATTCCCTTACAAACACACGAAGGTAAAATGAGATGCTAGAATCTACAAACAAGACAGAACACGTGACATTTGTCTTTTCGAGTCTTAGTTACCTCATTTACAATAATACTTCCAGTTCTGCTCTTTTTCCTACCATCCATCATTCCATTTTCCTTTCTATTGTGTGCATATGTGTGTGCACGTTCATGTATGTGACTGCAAGTATACACACGCTAACACCCATGCAGAAAGCAGGTACAGCTCAGGGTGTAGGTTGGCCACCTTCCAACATGTTTGAGCTAAGGTTGGTTGCCGTTTACCTCTGAGTAAGCCAGGCTAGATGACCCATCCACCTGTCTCCAACTCTCGTGTCCTAGGAGTGCTGGGATTATGGACATATGCTACCCTGTCCACCTTGACATGGGTTAGATCCTAACTCAGGCCATCACCCTTGCAGAGAGAGCACTTTACCCCAAGGTCATATCAGCATCCAATAACTTCATTTTCCCTTACAGCTGCATAAAATCCCAGGGTTATACTACCTCATCGTCATTATCTATTCATCTGATGATGGACAGCTAATTCTGGCTTCTTACAGAATCATAACAGTTACAGCAGCAGTAGACACAGATGTGCCTGTCTCTGTAACAGATGCAGGGCCCTTCAGGTATGTACAAGACTGGGTCACCTGGTTGTTCTCCTTTATTTTTTTAGTTTTTATTTTGGGAAAACTTTGTACTGATTTCCATAAGGGCTGCACTTGAAATAAATTTAGTTTTAAGAGAAGACATGGATCTGGCCAAAAGAAATGAGAATGCAGTTTGTGGTCAAGGTTAACAATTAATTAAGAGGAAATAAAAACCAAAGGACAGTGGAAATGCCCCACGGAAGCCCACCCCAGCCACACAGTAACTCACACAGCATAGTCTCAATAATCTCACTATGTTAAAGGGACCAAAGTGAGTTTTCTTTGCAATTTATCAAAAACTCACACTCTAAAATACTACCTGACATTAAAAAAAAATTTAGGCTTTCAGCAGAGACAAACAGCATCAAATTCTCTTCTGTTTCTCAATGGCCACAGGCGGTGGTTCTCAACCCTCCTAAAGCTGCGACCCTTGAATACAATTCCTCATGTTGTGGTGACTCCCAACCATAAAATCACTTTCATTGCTACTTCATAACTGTAATTTTGCTACTGTTTTCCAATGGTCTTAGGTGACCCTTGTGAAAGGGTCATTTGACCCATAAAGTGATCACAACCCACAGCATCTACAGACAGCTGCATAGTTAACCTGGAGATTCAGGGTTTGAGAAAACAGAAATCTTTTGTTTTGTTTTGCTCTTGAGACAGGGTTTCTCTGTATAACAGTCCTGACTGTCTTGGAGCTCGCTTTGTAGACCAGACTGGTCTCAGATTCACAGAGATCCGCCTGCCTCTACCTCCCAAGTGCTGGGATTAAAGGTGTGCACCACCACCGCTGGGCTGAAGACAGAAATGTAAACAAGCAATTTCCTATCCAGAATTATGGGTGTTCTCTTTCATCATTTAGTATCCCGATTTAGTGAAAGTATGTTACAAAGATGAAACATATTAGCAACTATAACCACAAGGGTTAATCGAAGAGATTGTGTCCCTGAGATGTCTAAGGAGCTGTGATCGACACGGGCTTCCTAAGCTTCTACTCCAGCCTACCGCTCCGTCAGTTTTGTTTATAATAGCTTTTCATTCTTACCCTTCTCCAAGGGCGATAAGAAACCCATTACATCATTACTTATAAGTTGAATTAATTTTTTTTTGCATGAACTCAGCTGTAAGTCACTCTCTCCAGCAGCTGACTAATTCCAGAAGAAGAACATGAGGCCATATTGTTCAAGACTCAGAAGGGAGAACAATGGACAGAGGGAGGCCTTGACACCCCCTCTCCCTCCCAAACATCACACTCTATTTTGTCTTAACGTAAGAAGTTGAGGAGCCCAGTGAAGTCAGGGAGAATCCTCTCCTCCTTACACTTCAATCTGAAATTTTATCTCCCTGAGAAATAATAAGTCTGACTTTGGGACATGTACCGAGCCACTTGTAAGTTATTGAACCAGGGACCTGTTTTCCAGCATCTTAATAAAAGATCTCTTTCCATGATTACAGCATAGACCCAAATAACACACACACACACACACACACACACACACACACACACACACACATTTTGGTGCTTGGCATTGAATTTTGGCCTTTACACATGATACACTCTCACCATATTCCTGGCTATACCGCTGGCAAAGTGAGAGATAGCTTCAACCACAGTGTGTCATAACACTGCACATATGGTGCACACACATACATGTGGATGAAAAACTCACACATATAAAATAAATCTGAAAAATGAAGATGAAGCCATGATTCAAGTTCTTAAAGCTACGGAGACTCCCATTTCCAGCCAGGCCACACTTTCGAGGGTGCCTCATTCCAAAGATGAAAGCAACCCAACAAGCAACAAAGAGGAACACTCTTACTCAGCTCTCCTGGCTAATTAAGTCAGAAGTTTTGGTGGTAGGACCCAGGCAACAGTCCTCTGAAAAATTCTTCCAGGGTATGTGCATGATGTGTGCTCATGCGTGTACAGGCACATGTGCCTACACACACATGTATAAAGGACAAGGAGGAAGTCAGTTTGTCCTGCCCTCTCATTCTAGGCCTCATTCCTCCCAAACAGGGCCTTTGTCAAGCCTGGAAGCCTGCAGCTCTCCTGTCCTGGCTAGACTGGCTGGCTGGCAAGTACCAGGTATCCTCCTGTGGCCACACCCCCCAGTTCTGGTATTACAGGCATGTACATCTATGTAGGCTCTTATGTGGATGCTGGGAATTTGAAGTTGGCTCCTCACGCTTGCTTAGCAAGTGCTCTGACCCACTGAGACATCTCCCCAGCCCCATACGTTTTCAAAACTCCTCCTGAGAGTCTGCTGTGCCGTCAGAGACCTAAGCCCTGTCGTGGCAGAAGTCACCATTGGTCACAACAGCGGAATCCCACCTTTGATTTGTTTCTGGCACTGAACTGATACGCAAGTCTCGACTGCACCGTCCGTGTCGGTGGCAGGATCGTCATCGTCAATGTTGATCTCCTCTGTTATGACGTCTGGTCCCAGTTTGGCCATGTATAACATGCTGATTCTTTTCAGTGTTTTATTCTCTTTGTTTAGCTAAAAATTGAAATAGAAAAGAATGGTGATTTTACCAGTCATCAAATGAGTATCTTGGATTTGTAAACAATAAATGAGCTAAGTGTGTTTTGTGTGCTACATTTGCACTGACATTCACAATAGGATGTAACAGGTAAATTCAGTCAATAAATAAATTACTCACATGTTTTAATATTAAGTTTATTCCTCTAAGAGAGGTCCCATTCCTGGATTACAGCGGCAGTGAGTGGAATTGCTGGTTATAAACATTAAGAAATACAAAGGGGGCTGGAGAGAGTTGGGGGTAAAAGTGCTTAAACCTGAGAACCTGCACCCCAGCTACAGGGGGTCGGATAGCCTCTTCTGGCCTTTATAGTTCATCCCAGAACTCATGGTGAAAACAAAGGGAACCAGCTCCCAAAAGTTGTCCTCTGACATACACATGCAGGCTATGGCATGAGTACAGTCACGTTCATAGAACACACACACAAACACACACACATACACACGTACACACACACAAGCAGGCTATGGCGAGAGTACAGCCACGTTCATAGAACACACACACACACACATGCACACGTACACACACATGCACACACACATACAGGCTATGGCGTGAGTACAGCCACGTTCATAGAACACACACACACAACACACACATGCACACGTACACACACACGTACACGCACACACACACACATGCAGGCTATGGCGTGAGTACAGCCACGTTCATAGAACACACACACAAACACACACACATGCACACGTACACACACACACACACATGCAGGCTATGGCGTGAGTACAGCCACGTTCATAGAACATACACACACACACACAAACACATGCACACGTACACACACATGCAGGCTATGGTGTGAGTACAGCCACGTTCATAGAACACACACACACACACACGTATACACACACGCACACACACACACATGCATGCTATGGTGTGAGTACAGCTACGTTCATAGAACACACACACAAATGAAGAAGAAAGAAGCATAAGGAATTTAGATAAAGCGCCAGCATTTCTAGCTCCTAATAGTCTTAATACAAATCACTTTATTTCAAGCAAATTTTCTATTTGATGTTGTGCTGAGAATATCGAATACAGGTCTGTTTTCCCAGCTCCCCTTCCTTTCTGTTCACCTGGTTTCTGTGGGAAGACAATGCCATTGGCCATGGCTAATAAGCCAGAATTAGTGCACACAACCCACAGTTAGCCAATCGGATCTTTTCTCTAGAAATGTGGATGCTGGAAAAAAAGAGTTTCTGTATGTCTGACCATGAGAGGTGACGCCAGCCACCCTCCACTACAGGACTGAGGGTAGAAGGGATCCTGCAGTGAAATCCTAAGGCAAGCAATACGCAGAGAGAGGCAGGGAGAAGTTACAGAGAAAGGAGCCTGGAGCCCCAGAACACCCTCATCCTTTGAAGGAAAAATACAAGATTTAAACAAATGAAGTCTCGGGGATTATACATAGATATTTTTGAGGAGTCCAAATTAATGCATTTTAGGGAACAGATCCCAGCATCATCATTGGTCTGGTTATAGAGGTGATCCTGTGGTACTCATTTGAAATTCTCTAAATCCCAAGGCAAAAAGTAAACCTGCCTTCACCCTACACTCACTAAACTTGTTACTATATAAAAAGTTTACACAGTGGTTACACTGGGCACTGTGCAACAAAGAGGAGGTAACTAAATAGATGTGGGTCAGACGACTCCAAATACACAGTCACTTACCAACGTCGCCTGCATACCTTAGCAAAATAGAGGAGCCACACTTGTGAGATATTGACGAGGTCAAATTGTACCATACGAATGTCCCATTTGGCTAAGTGGTAGTGCACACCTTTAATCCTGGTAATTGGGAGGCAGAGGCAAGTGGATCTTTGTGAGTTCAAGGCAAGCCTGGTCTACAGAGTGGGTTCCAGGACAGCCAGGACTACACAGACAAACCCTGTCTTGAGAAAAAAAATTAAACAAACAAAAAGCAACACCAGCAACAAAAACATTTCTTTTTATTTTTTTTAATTTTGTAAGTCTGTATCTATAAAGGTGTGAGCAGAGAGCTCATGTTCCCATAAATCCCCCGCAGCTGGGATTCTATATGAATTGCCTATATGGGCGCTGGGAATTGAACTTGGCTCCTCGGAAGAGCAGCACACACTCCTAACCATTGCGTTGTCTCTCTAGCCCCCTCAGTTCCATTTTTAATTTTCTTTCTTCAAGTCCCAAGAGTTCGTCACAGATCCTCAAAAACAAACTATATATGCCTACTTTACAAAAGACTTCTTATGGATCAGGATGTCGTGCGCTAAGGGGCCCAATATAAGACGAGGCTTAGGGCACAGAGAGCACAGTGACGGATGAGCAGACGTAAACCACCCATCACCTGGCGGCTTTGCAACATAGTAATGCCCACGCCACACCTCGGCCACTGAATAGTCCCAAGAAAGCCCTGACGATTAAAGAAAGACAATTACAGATCACAGGGATGAAGCCTGTCACCGAGGTCACTTGTTAAAATGAGAGGCTTGCTGGGAAGACGGACAGACTCTTGGGCAAAGTGCTGGCAGTAAACACATAAAGAACTGAGTTCTGATCCTCAGCACGTGTGTAACACAGCAGGTAGAGTGGACCGCGACTGTGGCTCCAGTGCTGGGGAGGTGGAGACACGCAGGTCCCAGGACTTGCAGACCAGCCAGAGTAGCTAAAACAGTTCCACATTCAGTGAGGCACCCTGTTTCTAAATAATTGGCCAAATGTAACAGAGGAAAATGCTCTAATGCTCAAAGTTGAGGTGACCCCTGGGTTACAGACACATGTGCACAGACATACCTGCACCCACACGTGTACACACACATACATACACACACACATATACACACACATACATATATAAACATATACACAAACATCATCACATAGACACATATACAAACACACAAAATACAAAAGAGATAAAATAATGTCTAAAGAAGGCTATGTTTGGACCGACAATTTCAGAGCATCTTGAAGAAGAGTCACCCCCCCACACACCATAAATGTTGTAACCTCTGTCCACCTTATCACCCAGAAGGGATGACCAGAGAGCAGAGCTAGCCTGCTCAGAGTCTCGTATGCCCCAAATGATGCACCTAGAAATGAGACAAGTGTGCACATGCTGACCCGAAGCTCTCGGCTTCCATTATGCTCTGCCAGTCCTAAGAGGCAGGGGTTTGTTCATCTGGATGTATATAACACAGACACCCTTGGGCACAGAGAAGATTCAGGGAAATCAACCTCGTCCAAATACATTGTGTCGCTGCTCATCCCAGAAGTAGTACAGGGAATGAAAAGAGTATCCAGGATCAGGGACTGAAATGCTAGGGAGATTGAAAGCAATGTAAGCATGCCCATTCTACCCGTGTTTTCAAAGCAGCGACCCATAATGCTATGCATGCATTAGACAAGTACCAGAAAAGAAGTTACACAGGGAGATTCATGGTCCTCGTTATGCTCTGATTCAGTATCTTATGAATCCTAGTACAGGTCACTATGCAAACAATTAAGCAGATACCTTTAGCAAGCACACTGCTAATGCATACAAATTAGATACATTTATTTATTTATTTATCGGTAGCAGGACTTCAGTCACATCCAAAGAAATACTTTGGAGGTGAGTGGTATGGGAGTGTGGGTTGAGGGCACACAACCAGCATCACTAATGAAATTTGGTTGGAAATTGCTGTAATCCATTTTCTGATGGACGCTTTTTACCCAAAATACATAAGACAGAGATAAAAACATTCTTTAATAATAATGTAATTCTGATGAGACAGAATATAGAAAATTACACACTTGGTAAAATCATCAGCCAGAGGCAATCAGTGGCGCAATGGAGGTCACCTTCCACATGCCCTCCCTCTGCTTTCACAAATAACCACCTGAAATGGAAGGCTCAGGCTGACTCTTTCATCAGACTCCAGCAGAAAATGCCCAGAGCTGTGTGTGCAGCACCAGGTCACTGCAGCAGTGTAACCACCGGCTAGGCGGTGAGAAAGGGTAGCCTAACAGTCTGCCCCATGGACTGCTCCTCCCAGGTCAGATGGGCACAGTGCCGAGAACACACACACACACACCCATCCCCCTACAAAACACACACACACAAGCACCCCACACACAAACACAACACACACAAGCACCCCACCACAACACACACAAGCACCCACACACAAACACACACACAACCAACTCCCACACACAACAGACACAAACACCTACACACAAACATACACACTAGACACACACACAAGCACCCCTCCACACAAACACACACACGGAGTCTGCTTTTATAATCAGAAAAGGGCTTCTATGCAGGCAGATGCTTACAGGATCATTTTGCAGGATCTGGGACTTTACAGCTCCCTCTCAGAGCAGACAAGTGGGCAGAGAATTAAGACCAAGCAGGAGAGACGCCGCTCCTTAGGAGACAACAAGCACAACAGTCTGGCTTACAGCTCACCTTTGTTGTTAGGAGACAACAAGCACACCCCTCTGGCTTGCTCCGCTCACCTTTGTTGCCAGGGCTTCAGCACTCTCCCGACATGTCTTCTCTATCTCCAGATGGTTCTGCATGAAATTCACTTCCTCTATGACCATGTGAGAAACTAGGAATGAAGAGGAAAGAGAGGCTCAGCATTCAAGGATTAGTCAACTATTCCAGAAGCCCACACACTGCCCCATGACCAAGAATGCTTCAATTCTTCCCAAAGCGAGACCTTTGGCCGTGATTAAAAGTTCCTCAGAAGCCGCCTTTGACTAAATCTCATCTAATGTATGCATGTAGAAAGAAAAACACACAAAGTACAAACTTCAACTATTACATATGTAAAATTTTAAAAAACTGTCTATCTGTATGTCTGTCTCTCTCATCTGTGTGTATGTGTGTGTACATGCACACATATGCATGCATGCCTGTACACATGCATGTGGAAGTCACAGGCCAATTTTGGGATTCATTCCTCAAATGTTATCCACCTTGTTTTCATAAAGCGAGGTGTCCCACTGGCCTGGGCTTGCTGATTCAGTGAGGTTCTCTGGCTGGTGAATGTAGGGGAAATCCTTGTCTCTGTCTCCCCAGCGCTGAGATTACAGGCACACACCACCGCACCTGGCTTTTCGTGGGGTGCTGGAGATCAAACGTGGGTCCTCGTGTGTGCCCAGCAAGTGTGTTACCTTGACTGAGCTGGCTCTCCTGCCCCTAAGGTGTTTGTTTCCTTATGCTGCTATTTCCATGGCAATAAACATATACTCAAGTAAACAAAAGAAGCTTCCATAAATAAAAAGTGGCACTGTGGTAGCTTTGGATCAGATTAGACATAACTTGTGGAAATATGAAAACTGAGCTGCCTAATAACGTGGATGGCCGGCTACGTGTTGTGATGTTCATCTTCAACAATGACAAACAAGTTCCTGTTGTTTCTTCAACTACAGGTCAGAAAAGTGTAGCACCAACACTTATCAGCCAGGTGATGAGAAAACAGGTACTCATAAATTTTTTTATCGTAAAATAAAGTACCATTAGGAGAAGAAGAAAAATCAAATTTTACTTGGTATTTTGCCAACACTTGAAATTTATTTTAATCTTTAGATTTTTTTTGGTTGCTGCTTTATGCAAATTGAGATTTAAAGACATGTTAATTCAGACCTGGAATGATATTTTGAAGATTAAGCAAGGAAAATAATGTGAATTTTCCCACCCATTTTCTAGTCAGAAGAAAAAAAAAATCTCAGGATCTCAATCCTAACTCTACATATGTAGACTGACTTCCATTTGTTTGGCAAAAGGAGAAAAAAAAATTAAAGGACACCCAAATGTGAAACCCAACAAAGTTAGCAAAAAGCCCTGGGCTCATATAACACAAAGACAGATTACTTTTGCTTCATTTAAGCTTAATTAACCTGCAATTATGATTAAACTCAGGGGGAAAATTTTTTTCTTTCTAAATTAAATACAAAAAAATGTATTACTTCCTAAGTCTGTCCAAAGTTCTTATTATGTTAATATTCAAATTCATAAAGCAGAACTAAATGGCCAGAAACATCTCTAACCTTGACATTTTTTCAGGGGTAATAATCTGTTGCAAATGCGGGCCAACCAAAAACCACTTAACTAATTAGTAGTTGCAGTCACCGAGAAAAACATGAATCAACACTGTTATTACAAGTGGCACATTTGAGTGGCATCTAATTATGACTTGATGAGCGCGATACTTGCATTATCAACGCGACTACCGCATCCCATCGGGGCCTAAAAGCTGCTGATGGCATTGACTTCGAGAAACTCCCACTCAATGGTACTGCAGCACCCAACAATCGGCTTGGCAGGGGCCCCCCTCACTAAATGACACGTTAAGCGTAATTACTGGTAGACATTGTAAATAAACAGGATTGGAAGTGAAAATTGTACCAAGTGCATAAGACACAATCTGACACATTGGAAGTGGCAGCCTTAATTGAGAGTTTCTTTGACTGCTCAAGATCATTTCAGCCGCATTTCTCAGAGGACAGTGATTATAACTGTGGAGACAGACGGCATAATGGTGTCAGCATTGCTGACGGAGCAGTGAATTAAATTGTATCTGCTGTGGAGAGAAAGCCGTGATGAGAGGTACAGAGGCCTTAGTGGTCTTATCATTATAACACAATGGTCATGTTGCCATCAACCTTTCTGGCTCCAATTGAAAAGAAATGATTGTGTGTTGAAGCTCCCCCCTCCACCACCCCCCTTGTCCTCTTCTATCTCCTGTCCTGAATAGAACCAATTTCCAGAGAGCTATGAAATCACGCAATAGGCCCTAAAATGCAGCTGCTTGGCATACAAACGGGTCCCCATTAAACTGGAATCACACACAATATGTGTTTATACCAGAGAAACAAACAGGAGCTGAACGCGGGCCAAGTTTATTCACACACACAAAGCCCATGTAGCTCTTCATCAATGTAATTGCCTTTTATATTGTAGTTTAAATAATAGGCTCTATTATTTCCTTAAAATCCTAATATTCCTGGCATTTTATCACTATGTTTACAAGGTAGGTTCTTCAAAAATTGTGAAGGAAAGAGAAAAGAAACCTATACAATTTTTACAACATCAAATATTACTTTGAATTTTTTTTTAGCCTTAACTACTTGACATCTCCTGCCACAATCTGGTATTTCTAGTCTCATAACAAAAACATAAACACTCTGCATTTTTCATAGGAATTTGACTTTTTATTCAATAACATTCTTGCTCATGAAAGTAAGGAAAAAATCATTCTGCAGTCGAGAGGCTTAGGCCTAGCAAAAAAAATAATAAGGGGGAGCAGCCCGTATTTTCTGAACATTTTGTAAAAAGCCATCCTGCGGTTTAACTTGCTTCTTCAGACACTGGGTACACACTGTCTGATGGAGGAGGGGCATCTCTCTCCCAGGAAGGGAAGCAGCAGAACATTTTAAACTGTGCCATAATTTTTAGTCTCAGAAACTCACCCTCAATGCAAACTGATAGCACAGAGATCTGCTTATCAACTGTATCCCTGGTTCAGAGAATATGCAACAAGGGCCGTTTATATCTATTAAAGGGAGGGCATTGTTTCCAAATCCAAAAGTCAGGCTGCAGGACAGAAAACAAAAGTAGTTCTGGAGTACGAATTTCTTTGTGCTTTTGTTTTGATCTTGTTATATATAAGTTTGTGTGCGTGCCGCCACAGCGTGGTGTGGAGGTCAGAGGACAAGTTGCTGCAGTAGGCTCTCTCCTTCTGCCATGCAGGCCCTGGGAACTGAACTCAGGTCATTGGGCTTGGAGGCAGGCAAGCACCTTCATCCACTGAGAAATCTGGCCTGGTCTTATTTGTCCTTTCCAAAGAATCCTTTAAAAAAAATCTTTAGGTATTCATTTAACAATTGGAACTTTTCTCTTATCCATGACTACCGGACACTTTACCTACAATATTCCATTTTTGTATGATACAATGTTTAATAAAGAAAAATTCGGTCAGCAAGGACCAGTGATAGACATCTTCAACCCCAGCAGGCAGGAGGCAGGTGCATGCAGATCTCTGAGCTTAGGCCAGCCAGGTCTGCACAGTATGTTCCAGGTCAGCTAGGACTACATAGTGAGAGCCTGTCTCAGGAAAAAAAAAAAAAAAAGAAGAAGAAGAAAGAAAAATAAAGAGAAAGATAGATAGGAAAGGGGTCCTAAGGCTGTAGTTACGCTTTTGAAACAAACAAAAATTCATAATAAGATATTCATTGCCAGCGAATTTTAAAGCAATACAAAGACTAACATCAGCTTCATTGTATGCACTCAGTCAGGTGAGTGTGTGAGCAGCAAGGGCTTAGATGGTGCCCGCTGGGTCGTGGATACAGGAGGGGCTGGCTCATGGTGCTATCTTCTAATTTTTCTATCACTTTGAAAAATTTCGTAAAAAAAGCCTTTAAGGGCTGGGGATGTAGTTCCATAGATAAGAGTTTGCCTAGCATACAGAAAGTCCTGGATTCCATCTCCAGCATCTAGCACTACATACGCTGGGAGACCGGCACACAACTGTAATCCTGTCTCTCGTGGGGTAGAAAGACCAGAAGTTAACAGTCATTCTCACCTATGAGGAGTTCAAGGCCAGCGTGAGATACATGAGACCTCACCTCAAAAATAAAATGAGACTCAACAAAATTAAGGCTTCGGGAACTCACAGGTATAACAAAGGTACACTGACTGTTATTTCTACCATTCTGGTTGAATTAACAAAGTTCCTGTCTCTTCATCTCTATCTTCAAAATACCGCACTCTTATATACAGCACCAGAGAACACATCACACGTAGGGTTTGGGGGTCTACTTAACAAATTCTTGTCTTCTATAAAACATGTACTTTATTAAAATAGGATTTTATTATTTTTTTATAAAGTCCTAGAATTTGCTCTGTAGAGCAGACAGGTCTTAGTCACGGCTATGCTTGTCTGTGCTTGTGAGCGATGGAATGACAGGCATGCATCACCACACCCAGCTGTGAAACATGGATTTGGGTTCATGTATGTCTGGTTCTCTTGCACTTTGAACAACACTACCTACAAAGTAGGTCCTTTGGTTTGAAAAGCTGAAGATGGGTGCCGGATATGCTACAGAATTGCTTATCATTTACTGGGCCTGTGTCTAGCCTTGTCCTAGGATGTGAGTTCCCATGAGCTCTCAGAAACATCCCTACACAGTAGATGCAATCCTGGCATTTTATCTGAGAACACTGGGACCCAGTGAGGTAAAGTAACCCTTTCCCAGTGCAGCTCTGACCGATAAGGCCCTGTCGGACCCATCCTAGGACACTCCAGATTTCCGTGGTCCTTCTAAAACTTGTTACAGTTGAGACCGTCAACTCCAAAGATCTTGTTGCTTCAGCACGTCCTTTCCACAGCAGAGCAATCCACAGGCTCTTTGAAGTACAGGCCCTGAATATAACTCTTTTCTTCAGTACCAGATTGTTTAAAAAAGATTTTTGTTATTGTTGTTGTTGCTATAAGCAGTGGGGTTTTTTGCTGTTAATGTTGTTCCATTTTGTTTTGTTTTTAGATGGGGTCTCAGACTCATTGTGTAGCCAAAGATGAACTTAAACTTCTGATGTCGCTGCTTCTGCCTCCTAAATGCTGAGGTGATTATAGACCTGCACACCACACCTGATTCGCAGAGTTCTAAGGATCAAACCCAGGATCTTGTACATACAAGTCAAGTATTCTCCCAGCTGAGAGACATGCTTGGCTCCCAGACAAGCTCTCGTGTGGCATGAGAAGAACCAAATAAGAATCCATGCAGAAAAACGCGTGCAGCCTTAAACATAACCCAGGGGCTTTCACTGCAGCCTGAAGCACGTGAAGGGACTTTACTATGGGCACATGGCTTCCCTCTTTGTGTGGAAAAACTCAGACAGGCTAAGGAAGAACTGGCAGAGGGCCATGAACAACATGAAGCCATGACCAGGGTTGCCGTTACCCTAGGAAAGGAAAGCCAGGCCAGGCTGAGGAAGCCTGGGCCCCCGGCAGAGCCCTCGCCTGAGTGTCCTCAGAGGTAGACCTGGAAGGTAAGTGTGACAGGCATTTCAGGGCAGCCAAGCAAACCTGTACAGCCGCAGAAGCTCCACGTTCGGGGGTGAGCATCGACCTGGTAGCCTGATGACGTCAGAGGCTGGATGCCATGGCAGCAAGCGGCATTTTTTTGAGCACCTATTATATCCCAGCTCGCAGGGTGAGCACTTTCCTTTTTTTTTTTTTTTAATTTTGCTAGGGTTTCTCTGTAGCCCTGGTTGACCTGGAACTTGCTCTGTAGACCAGGCTGTCCCCCACATCCTTGGTGTTGGTCTTAAAGATGTGTGCCATCATCAGCAGGGGTGAGCTCTTCTATGTACATTTTCTCACTTTTTCACTCAAATTTAGTAATTCATCCCAAATTTACTAATGCAGAAACTTGTTCAAGGCTACACAGGCTCATGAACAGTAGAGCCCACACTGAAGAAATCAGTAATGTTCTCTTCGAAATCTCAAATTCTAGCCTCTGTTCAAAGCCATGAACTATTTATCTCAAATTCAACTTTTAAAGAAATAAAATTTTCCTTTGTTTTGAAGTCAGGTCTTGAAATAGAAGGGCTTCAAACTCAACCTAAGGATGACCTTGAACTTCCAGTCGGTTTGCCTCCCTAAGGGTTGGGATTACAGGCATGCACTACCACGCCTCGCCTTGTATTAACGTGGCATCAAAGAATAAAACCTACAACTTGGCCCATTCTAGGCAAGCACTTTACCAACAGAGAAACATCCCTAGCCCTCCAGAAATAAAACTCTCCTATTCTCATTCTTTCTCTTTAAGACTGAGTAAAGAATTCACATTTAGCTGGGTGGTGGTAGGTAGCATGTGCCTATCTGATCCAGTGCTTGGGAAGAAGAGGCAGGAAGATCTCTGTGAGTTTGAGGCCAGCCTGGTCTCTTGTAGTGAGTTCCAAGACAAGGCTCCAAATCTACAAAGAAACTCTGTCTTGAAAAACCAAGAGAGAGAGAGAGAGAGAGAGAGAGAGAGAGAGAGAGAGAGAGAGAGAGAGAATAAAATTCACATTTGGGGCCAGCAGAAGGGTTCAGTGGGTCAAGGAGCTTGCCACTAATCTTGATGACCTGAGTTTGATCCTGGAACCCACATGGTCAAGAGACCTCTGACCTCCACATGTGTACACACACTCACAAATAGTGTACAAAAATAATCTTTAGAGAATTCACATTCTGACTTCCTGTCATTTGGACTTTAACTAACCAGGCTTAATAAAAGTAAAAATTAAATGCATCTAACAATAGCGACTATTGTGTTAGCATTTCAATGCATCCTTTCAGGCCCTAATCTGAGTTGCTCCTAGAACGATCAGCGTCTTTAGAGGAAAAGCCACTTTTGAAGGGACATGGTAGGTGAAAGCGACGTGGGGCAAGTTGTTTTCGTTCTTGCTGAATACAGGAGGCAAATACCTACCGCCTACCTGTATCAAAACATGCTGTGCAAACTGAACCGTAAGAAACCTGAGCCAGGTCCCTTCACACAGCACACCACTCCACTATCAATAATTCAAGCACGCTAACTAGCCACAATACCCATGGGCTTGCTCTTTCCAAGTGTATTCATTTGGATGCTATCAGTCCTACATGAGAGAATGAGAAAATTCAACGCAACCGCCGTTCACCCACTCACAGGAAAGCGGTATTTCTGTCCTAGTGTCTGGTCCTCCACAGACAGTGATACTCACGAGATTACCCTTGATGGTCTTGGTTGTAGTGAGATGACAAGATATACAGGCTGTTGAACCATTGCCTCGGACAGTTGTTTCATTTTTCAGAGGGTAAAATGTCTTGCTAAGGGCTGACTGTGTCAATACCTGCCGCCTGACATTGGAGCCTCTGCAGAACGACCTAGAAAGGTCCAGCTTGCAAGGGAGAGGGTTATTCTCTTGCAACGTCTGGTTCTTTGCCCACAACATATTCACATATGACACTTTTGGATCTGAACATCTACGTCTACATGACTTTGTGGATAAATTAACAGATTTATGTCATATAAAAAATAACAAAAATCTGAAAGAAAATTACTATTGCTTTACTGAGGATATAACTTATTCTGAGTGATTTCAAACTCTCCAAACTCCAGAAAATGATAACTGCTCTTGGCACGTTCCTTAACCACTTTACTGAGGTCTAAGTGATGAGTAAGTTGTTTATATAATTAATATACATGACTTGATGAGTGGGGGATAAAAAAAAAACCCTTCACGAAACCACTGTCCCATGGAGGTCAGGGACACCCTCATTGTCTCCTATAGTCTCCTTCCATAAATTGATAGGAATTGATTGGCTTGAAGTGCTGGGACTCAAACCAGGGCCTCCTCACACGTGCTAGGCAGGAGCTATACGACCCAACTGCACCTCCACCCTCTATTTAGAACACTGGAAATAAGATCTCTCCTGCTAGAGTACACTTATAAATATGCAATGAAGTTTTGGTAGCTATGCGCCCATATCGATATAAATCCCTGGCACAATTCCTTTTCCTTGAACTAACCTATGAAACTAATCATCATTATTGATAGTACTTTAAAACATTCAGCAGGGCAGTGGTAGTGCGTGCCTCTAATCCTAGCACTCAGGAATCAGAGGCAAGCAGACGAGCCAGCCTGGTCTACAAAGCAAATTCCAGAACAGCCAGGGCTGTTACACAGAGAAACTCTGTCTCGAAACCCCATCCCCTAAAGTAGAAACGATGACGAAAGAACAAAGTTATAGCACCTTATTACTATATAGATAATATATTATATGTAATTGCTAATAATGTTTGGAAGATGAGCTGCCCCAAAATGTGCAGGGTCCCATAATAACAAATCATAACACATTCATACAATATACTACACAGGGTAATGAAAATGATTACAGTTATATATATGAATATAAGTATATGACAAATGATACCTCAAGCTTGCACCAATAAATACTTCATATAGTTACATCATATATATTATTTCATGATCCATATAGTATAAACAAAAATGTGATGCCATGAAATGACAGACTGCAGATACAGCTGTGGCAAGGCTTGGCCCTTAGAAGGCAAGGAAGGGCAGAGGACTTTACGAAGTTTATATACTTGTGTGTGTATGATATGCTACAGACTAAAAAATGACAACAATTAGAACTGACCTGCATTTCTGCTGACACAAAAAGATACACTGTTTACTGAAAGAAGGAGGGTATAAAACGGAATCTAAAATGTGCACTTTTTATAAAAACACATATTTCATAAAGGTCACACAGGATAAAATACAAAATGCTAATTTTGACCTTTCTCAAGGAGTCTAAGTAACAAATGAATTTTGTTTTTCCTTGATTTTTTTTCCATAGCGAACTTTTCTTGCTACAAGCTTAAATTTTTATAAGACATTTATATTTTATTAATACTTATTCCATTGTTTTGGCTTTTTTTCCCCACAATGGGATGGGTTTTCTCTTGCTGATACGATCAGGACACCTTCAGTCATCTTGGTCTCAATCTACTCCTACAATCCCCAAAGTCAAGTGATTATTACTCCACTAGAAATGCTTACATACTTTTCTGAAATTCTTCCAGTTTTTTAACAGCTTCATCTCGTTCTTGCCTAATTTTGTCACACTGAAATGAGAAAGAGAAAGAAACGTTAAATCACACAATAAAATTTTGCTGTGACCAGGTGAAGAGCAAAAGCAAACTTACAGGCCGCACCAGTACGTTTCCTCCCACCCGCCCCAGACACGGCATCTCCTGGGGGCTGGAGCAACGCTAGCAGCCATGAGTGCACACTGCTCTTGTAAAGGGCCCCGGCTCCGTCCCCAGCACCCATCCCATGCAGATCACAAGTGTGGAACCCCAGCTTCAGGGGTCCTGGTGGCCTCTTCTGGCCTCCCAGGGTACTGTACTAGGATGCCCATACACTCCCTTAGACAAACACATACAGATACATAATTAAAAATAAAATGAATTTTAAAAAAATCTCTCCACAGCCCCAGTGTTGTTACTGCTCACCTAGCAAGAGATGCATGCATGGTACCCAGCTGAGTTTCCAGAACTTTCTATAAGGTAAATAGTCATTCACTACTCATTTTCTTCTTGGTAGCAGACCAATCGACTATCCTTGAGTTAAAACAAATTCCTCCTTTAAGAGAATACATATGGCTTGCTCCACAAAAGAACCACTGAGTGCTCAAAGCCCGTCTCCAGGATAGGGGACAGGAGATGGCTCAGTGCTAGATAATCCTGAGGATCTGAGTTCAAACACTCAGCATCCATGGAAGAGCTGGGTATGGGAGGATGGAGACATATAGACCCTGGGAGAACTGAGGAGTGAGACAGAGCATGACACCTGATACTCTCCCCTTTCTCTACGTGAGTATGTGGGCACCTGCACACTCACATGCTTGAAACAGACACACACATACATACACATCTGTCTGCAGGGTACGCCATACATGCAGCAGGGACACAGGGCTGAGTCATTAAAGCTGAACATCAGATCCTAGTGGAGCCCTCTCTCCCATAAACGAGTCAATGGACCAAAGATCATTTTCACAAGAAGGTGCGATGTTTAAGTCTCCCTGTGGGAATCCATCCTCTGTAAAAAGACAACCTGCCCCACCTAGTTCCTAGCTCTAGTTTTACAGATAAACCATGGTTGCCAGTTTTTTAGTGTATTAAAAGTTGTCTCCAAGAGTGCTGGATTCTCGAATCCGTTTCTGACACATGAAAGAGCAACAAGACCATACCAAACAGCAACCAGGACACTGCCGGCCAACTGCTTCTGGAATGTTCCTCTTACTTTCTGTAAGAGACACCTGTTTGCGTTGGACCGCCCCCAAAACTCCTCCCAGGCTGCCCAACCCCCTCCAACAATGCACAGTAGAAGACGCAAATAGAATCCAAACTCCTGCTGAGACCAGAGGCCTTCAAAGGATCCAGGTGTGATCACCTAGTGCGGCATAGCTGGTGTGCACTTTCTCGTTGGCTCTCCATCTCACCCTCTGTCACTTCTGCAAGTACGCGATCCTCTGAAGAAGACTTCATCATGAGATGGTGCCCCAGGGTGATGCTGTAACTTCGAGGCATTTGAATCTCCCGTTGCGCCTCTCAAAATTCCATTTAAAGGTGTACTTGGTTCCCACTTCCGTGCCCAATTTTCATTGAAACTTGGTGAGAATATAAACAGGAACGGGGCTCAGCACTCTGCCTAGTCACACATCAACCACCAAGTCTCCCATTTCCTGGTCAGAAAATAACGCGTGGCCTTCACAGGCAGGCCCGTTCCAGCTGCCCAGAGGGAAGACTTGATGCCGGTGCTAACTGCTCTTAAGAGCCAGGTAGCCACTCTGGTTAATAACAGATCTCAGCCCAAGGTGCAGGGAAGCGATTCTGTAGAGTCCAGCGCGCACTAACCTCTAGTTGCCCGCACAGTCACAAGCTGTCTCCCAACCCCAGCTGCGCTCTCTCGGGGGCTTCGTGTTGCTTCGCTTTCTATTTTCTGCAACCACATTATGATAGAACTGGCAGCCACTGAGTTTACCATCTGCTATGTTGAAAGGCTGAAAGGGTGGGAGGGGTCACGCATACGGCAAGCCAGCCTACTGATTCCACACCAGAACTGATCGAACTATGAAGGGTGCGCTTGTTTCCCCAGCAAGAATGTAAACACCCATGTATAGCATCATCTCAGGAGAAGGTAGAGGCATCCTGCAACCTTTCTCCCAGTCGACCAGCACAGAGACGTCGCAGGGACACAGGCCCTGCAGCAGCGTGGCATCTTTGTGCCACAGAGACGCCCCCATCCATCCCACCCTCTCCGCTGCCCTGCGCATGCAGCTGTACCATCTGTAAAGGCCGCCTCTTTTTGTGTTGAGAATTGCTCATGAAAACTTGGTAATAGCAACAGATGTTCTTTGGACGACATCACTTAATCAGGAAGCTCAATAATTCTCTGTAGCTCAAGGCTGGAGCTGAACTACAACCAGGCTGCCTGAGTGCTGGTTGCTTTAAGCAGTCTGAATAATGTCACAGCTTAGACTGAGACGCTGTTTTTACTCTTTAGAGAGTGGTAGATTGACTGGAGCTTGGTTTTGAAAGCCCAATTGTATGAGAAGCCCAGGCTGTTTTCCAGATCTCACCATTAGGGCTTATCTCGGCCTGTGAAAGCTCACCTGGCTAGTGAGACCGATGAGGGTCTGAGAACACAGGTTGGCGGAATGTCCTTCCAGCATGAGCTGGCATCTTCCCTGGTCCTCCATCTACCTATCGGCCAATACTGTCAACATAAATGTCTCTTTATCTGGGATCAGCAGAAGCTCTGAACTGACGTAGACAATACTTAACAATCTGCTGTGTGTGTGATTTATGCAATAAGAACCTCAACGCTCCAAATTGTGTCCGATTTCCACTAATATTTTATCATGTGGGTACACACGTACAAGGGAACGGTCATCTAGTAGAAAGGACAGTTTGAAGTCCATGCATTGTCTCCACACACCTTGGGGACAGAAGACAACAGATGAGCAGGCAAACGCCTTAAGGTCAACTGACGTGGAATTCTGAGCAACTATTTCCTGGAACCACTGGGTGTCTCTGCACTGGACAAATCTACATCTAGTGTCAGGCACTACGCTCAACACTGACAGAGACCTGGTGGGGAACACCTAGATTCTGTAGTTTCACCAAACTTAGGATCCACAAACAAAAACCAACAACGAGAAGAGCAGGGTATAAGGACCAAGGACATGGGCTACAGGACAGGAAGGCTGAAGACTTGTAGAGACAGAAATTGGGCAATTATACTGCCTGCAGGAAGGTTTGGCCCCACACCACCTTTTTTAGAAGTTCGTTCCTCTTACATCCCGGTCACACTATTTTAAAATGGGAATGTATAGCATCAGAACTGGACATTGGAGCCGGTGCCTGCTTCAGACTCTTCGGTGGGAGAGCGAGAGGGACCGCCAGGTCTGCTGTTCCATCCAGGTAAGTCTGGCTTCTCTGGATCTGCGCTCACTCATTCCCACCACATGGAACCCCTTTGCTCCATTTCTCCTTTGGAGTTCTTCTTTTCTTCCAATTCAAAGTTCTTTCCCTCCAATTTCCACAGGCGCTAAAGGGGGAGTGGCCGCCCCCACCCAAGCTGTCGAGTTGCAGCCTCCGAAGTCGAGGTATTGTGTGTGAGCTGGAAACACATGTCACCAGAACTGAGACCCTCGCTCTTTGTTTCTGGATAGATTGCTGTTAATGAGAGACTCATTTTCACTTTCAAACCGCTAAGTAATTACTTTTTCTCTGGCACAACCACTTGCCACTCCGTCTCAAAGAAGCCGCATGTATGTGGATGTATTATGCATGAACAGTTATCATAATGGATGCAGATCTTGCTCTTTAGAGTGGCTTCTTTATTGATTTTTTCTAAAAAAAATATACTTGGGACCTTCACCTCTGAATATTATACGAGAGGATGGAATTGTAACAATAGACAACTGAGCCAAGATGCAAACACTATCATATATCTTGCTTCTTGAAACAAGTCTTGGAAATGTCTGCCTCAATCTCTTGTTTTTCATTCATTGTCCCTGGCAGGCTGACAGAACCGTCTGATGCACGGTGACAGTAGCTCACCCAAACGGCTTCTAATCAGCCACTTAAACATTTATGCATTTCAAAACTCAGTCTCTGAACATAATATTAAACATAAATACTATTTAGCAGTAGACACTCCTCTATTACACAGATTCCCTTCTCTCTACACATACTGCACACACACACACACACACACACACACACCAAATGTGAATGTCATTCCACTCAAGGCTCGATGAGGCACACACACACACACACACACACACACACACACACACACGAAAGGAAAAGAGAAAAATCAAACCTAATCGGTCATGACAAAGATTTTGAGCAAGTTACAGGAGAAGGTCCTTCGACTGCTGCAAGGTGACTAACACGCAAACATTGGAGGTAACACACCAAGGAAGCACGTTTTGTTTGGCTGATTCCAAAGTAGATACACTCATCCAATTTTTGCACGCCCCAAATACAGATTTGGAAGAGTTTGTTAACACCAGTGTGATAGGCTCTCTGCCTCTTTTCACACACTGCTCGCTGACGATGCCATTTGGAAAATGGGCAAAAATAATGGAAAGACGAGGCCATTTCATAGTTCCCACTTACCATCACGCTAAAAGACCAGAAAACACAAACAAACAATCCCAAGGTTTTTATGTTTCCCCAGAACCCACAGCACGTGCCTCTTCTCCTGTTTAATGTTGAGCTAATAATAAATTCTCTTGATGAATGTGACAGGCATAGAGGAATACACAGATGGCTTATTACAAGGAGAGCTAGAGGAGGTTTAGGGATAAATGACATCTAAGTTTGTTATTAGAAGAGTAAACGTTTGCACATGGAAAAAGCAGGGGTCAGGTCATTTTGTCTTTTCTCATCCTACCCAAGCTGTAGAGACTCACACAACGATGACAATAACTCAGCTATTTGTCAACTGTGTCCCCTCCCTCGTTGGTGATTTTACTAACAGGTAAAACCTCATCTATTTTCCTTTAAGTGGCCAGAAAGTATTCAGTCAAAGATTTCCCCTTCAATTACTTTCCTTAAAAACTCAAACATATTCTGATTCCATCTCCAAAGACTTCTATAAAAACCATACAATGATCAACATCCATTGTTGGGGTAGAGGAAAGGACTACAAAGGGGAAAAAAAATCAGTTAAAACATTAGTCCAGAGTTGGAGATACGGCTCAGCAGGCTAGAGCAATTGTTTCCTGGCCTGACAACCTGAGCTGGAACCCTGGGCCCAAACAGTAGGCGGAGAGCCCTGGCTGACTCCAGCAGGTCTGACCTCCACATGTGTGCCGTGACATACACACTTGTGTACATATACACACACCAGGCAGATAGATATAAACAGCGATAAGAACCCATTGGCCCACCCACCACTAAATCTTTTACTCCTTCTCTTTGAGTGCACGGTGACAGAATTTATGTGTATACACACATGTGTGAATTTTTCTAGTAAAAGATTAATTTGATACTTAGATTTCAGTTTTTCAATACAAACTAACGGATGGTATAATCATGACCCAGAGAATGTACTGGGCCTGATAATTTACTGTGGAAAATTCATACGTTAACATTTAAAACACAGCTAAAGAAATGTTCAACCAGGAAAGTGCTTGCTGCCCAGATATAAAGACCTGAGTTTTATCCCCAGAACTCAGATTTAAAAAAATAAATAAATAAACCTGGGCATGGTGGCACACACCCGTGACTCCAGGGCTGAAAGGGCAGAACCTAGTGGACCCCTGGGGCTGGCTGGCTGGCTAGCCTAGCCTACCTAATGAAGCTGCAAGCCAATGAGAGAACACGCCTCAAGCCAAAAATGGACAACAGCAGAGGAATGACACTGGAGGCTGCCCTCTGATGTCCTCACACACGTGTGTGCCAATGCCTACTTGCGGGACACACACACACACACACACACATTAAAATAAAATGAGGTTTTTTTTTTTGTGGGAAGAGTCCATATACTCTCTTTAAGTTTACCTGTTTGTAAAGAAACAGGGAGGGCATAGGATCCAGGTTTAAGCCCGGACTCTGTCACCAATCACTAAGTTCTCAGGAAACTCACTGTTCCTCAAGTCCTTATGCTTTCTTGTATAAAATGAAGCTAACACAGTCTGAACCATTCTGTCATGGAGTGAAGAGGGCACAGAGGTGCCACAGAGGTCATCTCTCAGTGAACAGTCTGTAGTAACCTGCCTCCTCTGCAGAATCTACATCTATGAGGACGCTGCAGCAGCCACCAGAAGGTTCTATCCAGAGGAACCAGAGCTGCTGTCTCTCCTCATTGAGGTTTCTGGCCTGGCAACGAGGAAAAATAAACTTGCAGACACATGGTCAGGAGTAGTACCTTGCCATTTTTTCCCCTCCGATTTTGCCAAATGTCCCTACATCGAACCAACTATGACAAAAAGGAATTCTTCCAATGACTATCCACGACGAGCTTAATTTAACTCCAGGCTGGGACCCCACAGAGGAAAGATGGCCGCCTGTATTTGTTGATGCAGACCGGATAAAGCCCAGGCAGCCAGGCACAAGAAAGTGCTTTCCCAGAAAAACCAGGGTCCTCCATTTGCTGCCTCCGGAACTGAAGCTGCTTTTACTCCTTCTACGTCGTATAAAAGGCTTTTATTATATGCTTCTCTCCTTTGTAACACCCCCCACCTTGGGGAAAAATCTGCAGTAATAAGCAAGCCAGTCTTTTAATAGAAGGTAAACAGAGTGGGGTGAACTTAAAACCACTCAGTCGCCTTTGTTTTTCCCAACACACAGCATTCCATATTGCTTTCATTTCTTTTCTTCTCATTCCTGTTAATAGTTATTTTTAAAGAATTAGGACAGAAACAGGTCAATAATGCCTGCAGATGCTGCAAATGCGTCAGACCATCTTCTGCTCAGAGAAGAAGTAAACAGTTTACTGGGCCCAGGTCACTTCCAGTCCTTCTTTTAGCCCAACCTATAATCCCACGCACACAACCGACAGTTCACTGCAAACCCCACGGAAGAAAGTGGCTCTGAGCTAAACAGCTATGGTCAAGCCAACAGGGAGAGCAGGCATCCACAGCCACCTTTTCAAGGGCATTTCAAGGTCTACAGATAACCACAGATTAGAAACAGATAAGAGAAAACAAAACATGCAGGGTTTTCCCTCTTTCTTTCTCTGCCACATGAAGACACCTGAGCTTTCTATCTCCCTTCCTATCTTAAACATGCTTTTCATTTATTCTTATTGTATGTATATGGCGTATGCGTGTATGACACATGTGTGTGTACATGCATGCGTATGCCAAGTGGCGATCAGAAGACAACCTTTGGGAATCAGTCCCCACCTTCTACCAGGGATCCCGGTGATCAAACTCAGTGACCCATCCTGCCTGCTCCACCTCATATATTTAGAGGAAGCCAAACTGTCCTGCAGTATGAACTCCTCCAACCTGCTTGGCTCTTCCCCTCCCTGTTAGCCCAAAAGCAGATGCAACTCAGACCGCATGGACCTCTTCCTGGAGCACCATACTGCTGACTCTGAGCAGCATGCTTTAAAAGTATGCTTTAAAAGCATGTTGTGCCCGAGACCAGGGTCTAAACACACCCTCTTCTACCTTACATCCCCAGGGCTTCTGTGTTTGGGAGACTTCCGGCGACAGAATGGAAAATCTTTTCCAACTATTCTCCGTGGCTTTCCTGCCTTAGAAAGATGTATGCATCTTCTCCCTTTCCGCACGGACTTTTAAAAACCACCCCCATCTACCATCCCCTCTGGTAGCCTGAGAGAGGAAACGTAACAAGATCATCATCACCGAAGATGAATTTACAAAGGTACAAAGGAGGGGCTGGAGAGAGAGTGCAGTGGTTGAGGTTGCTTGCTGCTCTTACAGAGGACCCAGCTCGGTTCCCAGCACTCACACTGGGTGCCTTACAACTACCAGGAAGTCTGCCGGCTTGCTCAGGCCTCTGTACTCACAAGCACAAACCCACATATAGTCTCACCAGTGCATATGATCAAGAGAAAATAAATATTGTTAAAAACAAGAGAGCCTTGTAGATTTAAAACAATGGCCTAAAAAGCAAATAGAATTGTATGTGAGCTAAAGCACTCGCCATCAAAACCACCAGTCAATCTATGCCTAGGCAGCTGGCAAATGTAATGACTGAAAAGTCTAATGTGATTCTTAAGAGCACAATAAACTAAGTCCAAATAAGCTACAGACTTTATACCTAGTTATCTGCCTGCTAAGTGTTGTTATTACCCTTGTTCTGAAACTACAGAGATGAGACATCATAATCACATTCTTACGTTAAAAACCACCTCAGGTTGCTTTATTTATTTATTTTCTGCCAGGGATACATTTTTTAAAAAATATTTTGCCTATCTTATTTGATAAAAGCACTGTATTTAGTGGTGGCAAGTTAAAAAAATTACATTTTAAATTTATATATAACTTCCATTTATATTTTTAAACAAATCCATAGTCCATGTTCTTCTATCCTATCTTTTGTGTTCTATTGGCTCCTCCATCTTTCTATTTTTCCTCTAAGTTGACAGGAGAACAAAAACACATGCACACTCAAGCATGTGCGTGTGTGCACGTGCACACAAACACTCACAAATCTGCTTGCTTTCCGATGCAGGATCTCAGTCTGTAGCCCAGGCTAGCCTTAAACTCATGACAATCCTCCTGCCTTCACCTTCCAAGTGCTAGGATTACAGTCTTGAAGCTCTCATACATAGCAAACACTCACAAATCTTAAGTAAACAGTTTTAGAGACAAAAGAGACACATTACAAAAGTAAGCAGAGCTCACTTATTTCATAGTTCAAAACCAAACTTTCAGATCCTGTGAAAATATTCAGCATACTTCCCCTGTACAAACACTGGGTGGTTTTCAACTTCTGGTGTTACTGTCTACCTGTCTAGCAGAAGCAAACACAAGAGGGGTATAGAGATGGCTAAATGCCACAGCCCAGGTCCCTCTGGACCCACGAGCTGGGGTCCTAGGAGCAAATGTCTTCAGGCTCTGAATCCATCACCAGTGTCCCCAGTGAGACTACCAGGAGAAAAGGACAATTCCTGAGGACTTGGATAGCTTGGCCTAGTGCCTTGCGACACATTTAGCTGCGTACTTAATCTCCCAGGGCTGTGCCTACTGTGGCAATGCCTGCTATTCTTTACCATCTGGAGCCTGGAGTTGATATTAGCTTGAACCACACATGCAAGAGAAAAGAAAAGAGGAAAAAGGGGGGAAAAACCCCTCTCATTCACATTTAACTGAAATTGGTGGCTGAACAATGCATTATGCTGCCTAGGCGTGCAGGCTTGTAAGGAAAGGGAGGGGTACAGTACGAACCTTCTCCTTTGTTTTCTGGTTCTCTGCTCGAAGGTCTTCATAGTCGCCTATTGCTAAAAAGGAAAAGAAAAAGAAAGAAAGCGACATTACAACTCTCAAAAATTCTCTGTGGGAAAACCTGCGAACTCCGCTGACCCCCAACAACCCGCCACTAAGTTCAGCAGAGTGGAGAGACCTCCAAAGGGCCTTCGCTTTCCAGTCTCTGCAGATGTGAGCCCACTGCACTGAACTCCCAGTCTCCCCGAGGCCTCAGGAAGACCAGAAGGGTCTTGAAAAAGTCTTCCTCTGTGACCTCAGCACCTGCCAGTGAGAGCTCCCAGGCCCCTGCTGTCCCTCCCAACACTACCTACCCACCTGGGTGCTAAAATTGGAGGCTCACTCAGAGATTAAAGTAGGCTTCCACACTGAACACAATGCCATTTGTCTACTTTACTCGGCGCGGAAGGTTTGTGGGATGGACATTGAACTGAGAATATCTATTTCCAGGCAAGACAGGCAGTGGCATGCCATGGTCAGAAGCCAGCTACCTTCATTTCACTAAGGTGGGAGTGCAGACTCCCAGATATGTGGGGTGCTCATGATATAACCTGAACCCCCACGTTCACACTTTAGTAAAAACACGATTTTTAGGCCTCCTTGGAGTTGAGCCTACGAAGTTTGGAACAACGACCTAAGGTAACAATGAGGCAGAGCCTCTGAAGCCAGTCTAGTCCACCAGTCACTAGAAAGGACTGTCACTGAGAACTAGGTTATCACTGGG